TAAGACTCTCAAAGTCTTTCCTGATGTTTTGTTTATGCCTGTATGAGGAAGAGAGGGAGAACTAATGGAACTTGGAAACCTTTTTTTTGTATTCTGTTTATATCCATAATCTCATTCTTATAAGAATTAAGAATTATTTCCCTTAGGAGGGAAAATAAAATATAATTTGCAGAAAGAGATAATACCAGTTTCAGTTTTTGAGTTTCTTCTATTATCAGTTTCTGTGCTGGTGTTTTCTATTAAAGAAATGCAGTAGTATATTTTCTCTGAAGGGATTTCAAAATATCTGCATATAAATTGCTCCACGAACCTCTAATATACATTACCCTTGCAATGCTTTATGCCAGCTCATCTTCACCACAGATCAGTGTTTTCTAATGGCCTTAAAAAAAAGAAAAAAGAAAATATACAGTATGTAGAAAAAACACTGTGACATTTACAAAGTGGGGATGATGTTACGCTATTTGAATTTAGCAAGGGCAGAAGAGTCAGAGTTCTGAGTGCTGTTGATTCATTAGAGATCAGTAAAGATCCTGATCTCAGGTAATGTTTTGTGCAGATGACTACAGAACAGAAAGCTGCTTAACATAATGCCAGAGTACTGTTTCAGTGTGGGCTCTTGTGCTGTTTGCTGATCATTACCAACACAGATACAGGCATTATCCATGCTATGGCATTATAAAAAGAAAAACAAAAACCAAAAACCCAACCAAAGAAACAAACAAACAAAAAAGAACCCATCTCTAGTTTTCTTTCTTGTACAGAAAAAGATGACAAAGAATGAATTGAATTTTTTTTCACAACTCCATGGCAGCCTGAAACACTTGGAGATGTACAGCTTACTCCGTTCATTTCACCAGAGCTGTTCTCATATTTCTAGAGATCATAAGTTAAATGACATGCTAATTGTTTCTCAGCTCTTTTTTTGGTACCAGCAAGTGGTTTTGACATGGATTATCTTTGCCAATTGCGATTAGAAAGCTACCAGCAAACTTAACAGATAAGAAACAGATTTTAAGGATAAATGTTTCTCATTTAAGCTTTAGAGCACTTCATTGATTTGTAGTTTTAAAGATTTGGAGTATTTAATGGTTATGATGTTTATTTTTAGCTAGTGAAATTTATACAAATGCATTTAGTGTTTTTAAATTACACTGCTTTACCGTGTAATCTATTCACGGATGCATGTTTTGTTGCATGCCTTATGTTGTGTCAGTTAAGTTTTGGGAGAAGAGACCTAGGAGACTTACTCTGAGCAACTCAGTCTTTTGATACTAACAAGAATAACGCTGAATGAATTCTTTTGTGGCTCAGTCAGTGAAACACTTTTAATTCTTCCCTGACTGAACCTTGTGCCTTGAGCTGCTTTTCAAACCAAATCATCAGAAAGCACTTTGTCTTGCATGCCCACTGTTTGGAGCTTCTAATAAAATGACTCCTTTCTTTGACAGTTTTATTTGTAGCATAGGAAGGTTATCTGCACACCAATTTTTTTCCTCCTGTGAAAATCAATTTGTGTCTACATAAAAGTCCCTGCATGTTATGAAATTGTTATAAAACTAAACTTTGCATTAAGAAATGTCACCGTTGAGACTGATTCATGCCCTCTCCCCCAGTTTTTTATAGCTCTTCTTAAATTTACAGTCACATTTTTTTTCCTCAGCTCTGTCCAGAGAAGTCTGGCTTCAGTATCTTCTGTCTTAAAACTTATCCATTATACTTATATTAGGTGGTGGTAGCAGCACTGCCCATAGCAGTGGACTTGCTGCCTCCTTTGACCTGAATGAACTGTTGAGCTGGTGATTTACTCACAGAGCCCATTCCTCTTCTCTGCTGGATCTGCATATGGGATTGCTCAGTTGTTATGGATAGTTCCTTGCTAGGTGTTTTGGGATGAGGCTGGCACAATCATGGTCACTTTGTGTAGTTATTTAGTGGCTACTAAATACAAATTACCTACTGACTTTTAGGTAATTGTGAGCAAGCCTGGGTAAAGGGATTCTCTCTAGGCTTTTTTCAGTCCCACCAGATGATTAGTCTATAAACAGTCTGGCACAAATGTATTTCTCTTTTTAATAAAAATAGAAACATAAAATGTTTTCTGGTCATTATTTTATTAGGTATAAATTTCATGTTCTGTGTTTTCTCTAAGGAGAAAATTTAGCTGTTCAGGTTTTTACTACATTAAATGGAGAAATGGGATGGTAGTACAGTATGCAGCTGTTTTGGATGTCCCCACTTTTTTTCTACTTTCTGATAAGCACACATGCAGTAGAGAAAAAAAGACATCACTTTTTGCACAGCATGTTGCCATGGTTAAAGTGGTTTTTAGTTTTTCAGATAAAACTGCTACAGAAACTACATACGTAAAGCATACAATTTCAATAATGAAACTTGTTTTGTCTTAGATCTTGGAAACTTGATTTAAGGAAAAAGTTTGGTAGTATCAGTTCTTATTCATTGCATATGGATTCACTTAGAAGCTGGAATCTAAATTATGATTAAATCAGCCAACCTCCTAATTAAGCATTACAGATGTGTAGTGGAGTATATCAGTATATTTCTGGAATGGAAAAAAAAGGGACAGAGATTTATCCAAGTATTTAATGATTTTTTTTTTCTTGTTTTTAAATAAGAAAAGATAGAAGATCCATGAACTTAGGAAAATGTAGGAATGTATTGCAAGAGAAGAGTTTCAAATCAGCCCCTGCTATTGATCTGTTATTGTTTGTGTAGAGAGATATGCTGCTAAAAACCTTTGCATTTGTGCACGTCCCAGGTGAAATTCTTGCAGTACCCGACAAGAAGGAAATAGATTTCTTCATGGAAACAATTTTTTTAACATCAGAAAATAGTGAACTGAGAAATAAAGGCTGCAATTCTGCAAAATTCTTACCATAACGGATAATTTTCACATAGAATCATTTCAACTGGAAAAGACCTTTAAGACATTATAGTTTCTAAGGCAGTAAACAGGATTGACTCAGCTAAATTGCATGTTGTTTATGTGCAGTTTTTGCACTAATATTTCAGCATTTGAAATAGAGTAAAATGTATCTTTGTATACACATATATTTAAAGTTTCTGTCACGGCACTGTTGCCTCCATAATTTTATCCTAGAATTTTATCCTAGAAGTTTGAAGATGTTGTAGCTAAGTGTATGTTCTCAGAAAATCTTAACAAATCCATTTCACTTAGGATGTTGATAGTGAAATCACCAGTTTTTTGTTTGTTTATTTGTTTGTTTTTGTATTTTGGTTTGTTTATGGGTTTGTGTTTGTTGAGGGCCTTGGGTGTGGGCAGTGGGGGGAGCGGTGCACAGGGTTCTTGGTCAGGGAAGTTGAGGTGAAGAAATTTCCTTAGGACTTTTTCAACAGAAATCAATTCTAAATAGTGAACGAGACAATGATGGTATCCTGCTTAACGTGTTAGTCCAGAAATTTGGCAGCTTCAGGACTAGTTTGGAGATTATTAAATAGGTGGATCAGTATGAACCATTATATTTTCTGAAAGTGTGTATGTCCTTCTTTCTAATATACTGCAGGGTTTTTTTTATACTAGGGTTTTTGAGAATGCTGGACAGTCAATTGCCTTTCCCTTGGCACAGCACCAAACCCAGATACCTTTTTTTGTCATTGTTGGCTTCATGATGATTTATTGGTGTGCCTCTTCCAGGGAAATAATTGTCAAGCTACTTGTTTTTGAAATGACCTTTCTGGACAAGGATAAACATAGTGCTCTTTTAAAGGTGTCTTTCTAGAAACTGCAAAAACACTTATTTAGACACTGATATGCCTTAGCTTTGGAGTTTAGTATATCCTTGAGAGCCTTGGCCACCTCATTTGGAATTTGAAAAGTGAATGCAATTCATGTGATACCAAACTGTGAAACAAATAAAAGTTTCAAGTCAGGAAAAATGTGTTGAGATCTAAAGATGTACTTCATTGGAGAGGGTGTAGTGTAGTGTTTCAAAGTCAGTCAAGGTCCAACAGATGTTTTGTTGCATGTTATATAAATCTTTCTTGTTTAAATGTAATCATCTGCAGGGCTTTCAGTTGTCTACTAGGGAATAATCACAAAGAATAGAAGATTTGTACCTGCTGTATTAACAGGAACTACATATTTTGCCTATGGGCTTCCATGAGAAACATCTCACAAAATTACGATGGTGCCAGATGTCCAAATAAGACCCATAGCAGAGAGTTCATAATGACAGCAGAAGCTGACTGTGGAGACTGAGACCAGATTCAAAGCTGGAAAGGTCATGCTGGTGTATGAAATGTAAAGTGGGGATCATATGCCCTATGCAGAGACACAGTGCATGCAGTTTCCACTAGTGTATCTGGAAGGGTAATGTAGAGAATGGACCTCAGCACTTTGTTCAAAGCCTGGCTCCCCTTTGTGGTACCTGTCGTGTCTCTGCTCTGTCTTTGGGGCAGGGACCTTTTATTCCATTGTGGTGGGTTAAGTGATGCTGCCTGTTGAATCTCTGTTCTGTATACTAGTGTAGAACACAGTCCCTAAATGAATATAACTGCTGATTACGTGAACAGTGATCAGACTTTCCATTAAATGTGTCACAGGTAAAGCTTAAAATCATTTATGTTCTGATACGTGTGTTCACATATACAATGAACTTTGAAATACAATCTCAATGCTTTTTATTTTCAAAGTTTTTATACAAATATTTTTGTTGTGCTATAGCAGGAGGAAATTTTTACTGTATTAGTGTGCCTCTTAGCTGCAGGATCAGAATTCAACTGATATAGTCACGTTTAGAATCTAAAGTAAATATTGTTCAGTATGGGTAGGTTATTGTCTGTCTAACTTTGTGATTAAAAACTCAAGGAGCTGAGTGGCACAGGTCTTGCATTTTAATTAAAGAGTTCAGGCATTCCTTGCCACTTAAACACAGAAAGTCAGAACATCTTTGGGTTTTTGTTCTTTGGTAATATATATGTGTGCTGCCTGAAACTTTGATTACCTCATTCCTTTGTAGTCATGAGACACAGACAACCTGTTGGGATCATCCTAAAATGACTGATCTATTCCAGTCCTTGGGTGAGTGCATTTCTTAAAATAAACCGTTCTGTGATGTTCATTCCATGAGTAAAAGCTGCCTTTGTGTGCTGACCACGTCAGAGTTGCCACAAACTGTGTAAGAGAGCATTTCCCACTTTGCGATGAGACAATTTGCATGCTACCTCCTGCCTAGATTACATCATGTGTGTTGCCTTGCAGCAATATTCTGAGCGATATGCTCTGACTGTGCTTTAATGTGGTATGTTCTTTATTTCTTTTAAAACCACGAAGGATTATCCAATGATGCAGACTATCTGCGTCTTTAAAGCAGGATGCTGCTCTGCAGGGAACTAATTTTTGTAGTAAATCAGAGCAGCTCTGCTTTCACTAAAGGCTAAACTGTATTACGGTGCAACTAGTTCAGTGTGTACCGTTAACATCTACATTTACTGTGAAATCTCCCTTTCTAAGGAGCAAAAGAGTAAAATACTGTTAAATGAGGGAAAATGCTACTATACCCATGTTTCTGAAACAGTGCTTATGAGCCTCTGACTGTCCTTTTTGAAGCACTGTTTACAAAGTCATGGCATGGAAATTATAGCTTTAAAAACCTTTTTTTCTCTGTTACTGGGACCTTTGCTGGCTCTGGGTTTTTTTTGTTTTTGTTTTTTTTTGTTTTTTTTTCTGACAGAGTTGTATATTATTCAAGAAACGCAGTGTATTTCGGCACTTGTCTAGTAACTACTTAACTGCATAATGTGTATATAAAAGTCTGGTTTTTATATGTATGTGTGAGTCAGGTTTTCTGGTGTTCCAGTCTCTGAAGGCCCTGAACTGTTGAAGTTGGGAGGCTTTCCCTGCAGATGGATTGGACTGAGGTCCCAACATCTCGGTTTATTTGTTCTGAGATATACTACTAATTCATTGCAGAGAAGAGAAGGCATATCAGACTCCTCCCAGAATGTGAAAATTTGTATGTAAAGGGAAATTACAGACTCTATTTTTAGGGCTCCTCATATTTCTGTTCTGCTTTTTCAGCTGACTTGAACAACGTACGCTTCTCTGCCTACCGTACGGCCATCAAAATCCGAAGACTGCAGAAAGCACTGTGCTGTGAGTTTGGCCTTTGAGACAAATTGTTTCTCTACAATGTTTGGGGAAGGAAGGGTCAGCTTAAGTCTAACAACATTAATGTTTGTCAAGGGACCACATACATCCTTGACAGATAGTCAATCAACAGGATGGCAGGAGGAATTACCAATAGTAAGCACCATAATTAAGTAAAATAAAATAATGAAAAAAGGGGTACAGCAAGTAGGTTGAAGTGGTATGCCCACTAAGACTACTTTGAGATGTGATAGGAAAATATTTGACCTCTTGATTATTGCACACTGTTCCTGATAGAGGCTGATACAAACCAGTGAGAAATGAGTACTAAAATCCTGACCTTTGACAAAAACTCAGGCGTTTAATTATATTATAGAGGGTTCTCTTCCTCTTTTTACAAGTATTTGCTGGTGCTAGATACAACTTCAAAAATATGCCTTTGTCTCAAAGAGAATTTCTTGCTTTTTGAGTTCCAGTTAAAGACCAGTTCAGGATGCTCAAAGTGTGAGGGGAAACTATACAGATCTGTATAGCTGTTTATAAGTAGTTGGTATTGCTGTACATTTTAATCACAAAAAGCTCATAAGACCAAACAAACTGCTATTATTAGCAGTAATAGTATGTATAGATATGTTGGGGTTGTGGGGAAGGGTCTTACATTTAGACAGGAAATAACATTGCGTTTAATATGCACATTGAATATTCTGCCCAGACTTGTGTTGGCAATTCTCTGTTCTTAAGCAGTCTAATAATTCATCCACAGTCCACTCTGAAAAGAACATAGATTTTGTCAGTCGGAAAGGATAGGTGTCTACTGAGTAGGCTCAGCTGTCTAAATGATTTCATTTCCATAGTTCATGTTTGTATCTCCAGTTTTCTGTTATATATCTGCTAGGTATTTAAAAAAGCTTTTCATGTTATATCACAATAATGGTTTAACACAGTAGCAAGTTGCATGACTACTATGTTCAAAGTTTAGCAGTTCTTGCCTGAGTCTCCTGTGCAAAACAAACTCAGAGAACTCTTTGGAGTCTTCCTGCCACTAGTATTTCTGCATTGCCCTTGAGAATCAGGATGAGAAAAAAAAAAAAGATGGTACTTTCTTGGGGGAGCTGAGCTAGCTTGTTACTGCTCAATGTTTATTTTAGAGAAATGGGATTGAACTAATAGTCTAACATAATACAGAAATGGTTTACAGTATAAAGAGCGGCAAGACATGAAGACAAGGAAGATAATTGAAAGGGCAACAAGCTTAGAAGGAAGTGAGATTTTGTGAGAAAGCAGAAAGATGTGTGGAAGAAACTAGCTGAAACATACAGGTGGGGAGATTAAGGTGTACAAAAAGGAGTGCCAAAAAATTTTACTGTAGAGATGGTGAAAATATGAATTTTAAAAATTATTAGAACTACGAATGAAAATGAAGAAGAAAGTATGTAAAAAAACACATCTACTGGAAAGAAAATAGGGTGAAGCAGGAAAGAGAAAAGGGATGTGGATAATTTTGGAAGGAGAATTTTGGCGTTGTGGATGTGTGTGAAGGTCACAGATCTTTGCCATTTCGAAAAGTCTTGGCAACAGCTGGTGTAAAAATGTTGTACAGCATTACTTTCATAGTTGAATTCAGGACTCCTTGCTGTGGAAGGAGTTTTCAGCCCTGAAGGATGTCTAGTACTGCAGTCTGAGTAGGAACACAAGGACAAGGCCATCCTAAAGATGCAAGCAAGGAAGGAGTTGCACAATGTAGGGTCCCTTCCCACCCTCCAGGTGGTTAGTTTTCCTTCAAGCCTAGAAGAGAGCAGTCTGATCTTGGTGGTAGATTCTTGGCTGGGCTTGAGATATGTATTACACCAGATGAAGCTGTGACTGGAATGGTAGCTAGCTATGCCAGAAAGCTGGAGTGCATCTGTGTGGCAGCACAGGCTCACCACTCCTTCGTGTGCCGTGCTGGCTTCTCACAGAATTTCAAATCAAGTTCGAGATCTTGAGTTCAAGATCTTACCTTTAGGAAAAATCAGAAGCCATCCTTTAAAAGATTGTCTGATAGTATTGAAAGAAAAACTGTATTGCTTTGGCATAGCCTAGAGCTTCTCTGTGCAAGAGATATGGTCCCACCAAAGGCTCTAGATTCATCTCCCAGCAAGACTAAAGCACATCATGAGCTTTCTGCTTATCAGTGAGCAGCGTTTAAAGTATGTATCAACATTTACCTACAAACCAAAAGCAAAGCAAGAAGCCAGAAAGCAAAGTAAAATTCTTCTTGTGTGTGCTGTTCCCCAGGGGAAAGTCAAAAACCTGACAGTGCATGATGGATGCTAATCACGCTACCTATTTGTGACAGGCATACAGTCTGTCTAGTGACCTGTATAGAATGAGCTTCACTTTCATTACTTCTAATAAGCTTCTTCTGAGGAAGAACATACTCTTCCTGCTCTTGCTTTTACTGCAAAATACATCAATTTCTGTAATAACTGCAATGGTTAGCTCTCCTCATTCACAGATTTCAGAAGTGCTCTCCTATCAAGGTGAGCATTGTCTCAGTTTCAAGGGAGGGATGTGAAAGGAGTAAGAAGAGAATATTCCCATTTGAAAGAGCCAGGACTAAAATGGATCAAATCTACTTCATTATTTATGAAGCTGTTTGCTTGCTCTATCTGTCTGCCTCATGGGAGGAAGCAACAGCCAAAAAACTCTGTCTTTTATTACATACATGTATTTGGCTAAGAAAGACGTTGCAGAATATCCACAAAGCTACATGCTTCAAGAATTTTCTCTCTCTGAACAGGAGCTTGTTATGATTTGGCACAATTTTGAGACCACCTTCACCTTAATCACTGCTGTTTCTTTTGTCATTGTTTGCTTAGCTGATTATTTCTTGCCAGGGAACAGGTCAAATTCCCTCATACTGTGATAATTCTCAGCCTGATTCCATCCCATGAATGGCTTGTGAGATCACCAAAATGCAGCATGTGCTAGCAGCTCCTCTTTGAAGAAGGGGAGGGTGGTTAAGCCCTGTCTAGAAATTTTTCCTGACTTGTATTTGTTGGTTGTTTTGTTTTAATGTAAGGAAAGGATCACCTTCTGTGCCCATGCCATTCATTCTCTGGTCTGAGTTACTTTAGTCTTCCATTGTATTTCCTGTAATTTTAACCATGGGTAGTTTTTAAAGGTGTTCAGATACAGAATGCTTCAGAAAAGCTTATGTGCTAAGGAAAAAATAAAAAAAAAAAAGTCGTCAGAACAAATCCTAGAAAATGAGATCATTGTAAACTGTAAAGCGTGACAGATCTCTGTCACAGCCACAGTGTGCCTATAACTGCAAAGGCTTTTTTGGTGAGAACTCCAAGGACACCGCTGGAGCAGGATGCTTAAACTCACTTGCACCTAATCGATTTTGACTTTGCAGTGAGGACTGGTAGGTAACACAGTATTGGTGCTACACAAGCAGGTTCAAGAGCATGTAATTTGAGAACTGTACTTTGGAAAACTTAGGTGATGTCAAGTCTCTCTTCTGAGCCTTTGGTCTTGCTAAGTGTCAAAAATTCATGGTTCTGGAGAAGTTATTCCAGCTCATACCCTCCACCCTCCTTTAGAAGCAGCAAAGTAGAGTCATGTTTAATCTTGTTCTGTTTTTTTAGAAGGTAGATTCCTGCAGAGACTAGTATGTGTGTAGGTATGTACATGTATTTATTTTGAAGGAAGCTGAGAAAGGTTGCAGGTTGGGAAAAAACAAATTCTTAGCTTCTCTGTTTGAGATTGTGGGGCAGATGTACCCAGAGCACTTTCCCACTGTAGCAGAAGAAGAATGGGGCTGGAGAGAGTATCCTGTGTTGCAGCTGTACTGGGCAGTTATACAGCACCAGTCCCTGATTATCATATTTTATTCTCATGCAACATAGTTTAGTTAATTTTCAAGAAATTATGTTGCCCCAGATACTGAAGTGTAGTACTGGAAGGGAAAAAGGGAACGAACCCACCACATATATTCAGAATTCTGTCACTGAGCTCTTCTATGTGATTTAAAATTTAAGAATGCTAATAAGAATATCAACTGCACAAGGCTAAGGAGCAAACATTAAGGCGCACCAGACTAAAACGAAGCACCATGTTGACTTCCCTCAGCCATGCAGTCTTTTGCAGGAGCTGCTGTCATTCACAGGGTCTTTCTGACACAAAAGTTCTCTAGCAATGCCTGCCTATTTTCTCTGGGGTTACAGCAGCCTCAGATGTGCCATTAGCAGCTGCCTGTCATTACTTGCTCCTGAGTCAGTCACTCACAGCTGCCTGAACCGTGCTGAATGACGTGCTTTCTGTTCATAGTTTTCCTTTGGGAAAATCTCCTCACTGCAGAAAGGAAAAAATTTACCATTGTGTCCATTTGTTGGTTAACAGCAGGACTGGTTGTTGAGTACATTTGAGCAGATGTAGAATGGTCCTGCAAAAAGGCACTAAAAGCTGTCTACGGTAGGCTTCCTGCCAGCAAAGGCATGCGAGTCTTACGTTAGCTTTTACCCATCTGTATAAAAACAGCTTATTTTAAAACTTTCAAAAATGGAAATGTAATGAGAAAATAACCCCTCTTTACCTTAGCCCAATCCAGGGGCTCTGCCAGTGGGTAGACTTTACCATAACAACATAACTTCCTGTACCCAGAGTTCATTCAGCCAGGTGAGTGCTGAAGTAAGCAGAGATGGAATTTCTTCTGGTTATTCTCCACAAATGGTGTCATCCAAAAGTGCAAGTTTTGCTTCATTTCCATTAGTACAGCAGCAGAGTTTCCTTTTAATATGAAAATACTGAAAGCACCTCTCCCAATTCCCTTTAGAATCTTCTGGCAGAATTTGAGAACATGAATTTGAGAACTTAATGTCTGCAGACCAAAGCATGAAGTTAGCAGGCTTACTCTAATAGCTGATGAATTGCTGTTTTCAGTGCAGGGATGGTTCTATTAAGCCAAGCCCAAAGGGTACAACTTTCTGGCATTCTGGCATTTCATGTTTTCATTAGTTGAAATCATTTTGAGCTTTATTTTTCCCCCCCTGTAGGACATGAAGGAAGACCATGAAAAGTAGCCATCTCTTCTGAGTGCAATACTTATGTGATTGGATCACATTACAGTTTTTCACATGGCTTCACCCCCTCCCTTTCACCCCTCAGAAGAATAGTCTGTTGTGTTGTGATGTGAGAGGGGGTTGGTTTTGTTTTGTTTTTAAAGATGCCTGTGAGCCTTTTCCAGTGTATGACATATTTTCCAGCTACTATAGCAGATGCCCATGGCAGGGAGGTTGGATTAGATGATCTCTAGGGTCCCTTCCAACCTAAGCCATTCTAAGATTCTATGATTATGATGCAGTTTACTGCCTAATACTTCAGCTACCTCAGGTCAAACTAGTGGAAAGGTGTTTTGCTGCAATTAGCAGTCTGCCTGTTTGGTAAATGCATGGCTGACATTTGTTTGCAAGTCCAAGATGATGTTAAAAAAAAAAAAAAGAATAAAAGAAAATAAAAAACAAGCAAATGTAAAACCCCTGTAAGTCTGATCCTGTAGAGTAGAATGTACCAGTATCATTGAAGGAGAGGAAGAGCAAGGACTGTGTGGTAGTTTCTTATTTTATAGTGATGTGAGGAAAGGTAGGTCAGGGAGAAGGGATTGGGAATTTAACCTTCCTTTGACCCATAACCTGACTTTTGGTGGGTAATTGTTGAGTTCTTGACAGAATTGCTCTTAGTGAGTTGTTAGTGTTGTCTTGCTCCTTGTTTTTTTCTGCTGTACTGATTTTCCAGCCCAAGCTAGACTTACCTGAGTTGCACAAACTGCCCATCTGGGGTCCTTATTTAACATTATCAGTGCAGAGCAATTGACAGCATGTCTGAGATTCTCATGTTTCAGTTCCTTTGAGAGATGACATTTATAGTGTAAATGTGTTACTGGTTCTCCAGAAATAGCTCTGTATGAGCTTGGAAAAGACTTCAACTCCATATTGCACACACTGTGGCAGGCATACTAATATATTGTTCCACTTGGTTTTGCAAAAAGAATTAGAAGGTCTCATTGACAGCTTTTTGTTTTCACCAAGAAAAACCCACATTTTCACAATCATGTTTTGGGAGCAAAATCCTTTTCACCTATAGGATATCTGTAGCTGCTTATAGAAAGAATCCTGTAATAAAGGAAATGAAAATATTTTTCATGAAAGCATATTATTTAGTGTTCTGGAAGACTACAATAAATAATTTCTCTGTGTCCCTCTCCCTGCTTTCTTTCTAGCCCTGATTTAGCAAATGCTGTTCAGTTATCAGGCCTCACTCCATTCCTACTGCATTTGAGAAAACATTACTACCTAAGAATTTGCTTTGCTTTATATCTAATTGAAAGTTATAGTCATTTAATGGGATTCTGCTTTATGGTAAATATGAAGAATCCTCTAAGCATAATGGAGTCCCAGTATGTGTATATCTGAAATTAGGATCATCTAATTACACAGACTACTTCATAGGCTTTTTAAATGTTCTTCTGAGCTGTGCAGGGTCATTATGGTGTTCTTGTTGATTCTGGTTTTTTAAATCTATGGTACCAAAATACTGTCGACTTTTCACGGAGAACAATTTTTCATTATGATGTTACTAAATAAAAGCTACTTCTTGGCTAATTGCAATGTTTGCTATGGTATGCACATGAACAAGTATTGTGAATGTCATGCTCAGGCATCTGTGCTCACACCTTTTCTCTCTATTTTTATTTTTAATCACCTTTTGATAACAGTGGACCTGTTGGACCTGAACACAACAAGTGAAGTTTTTAAACAGCACAAATTGAGTCAAAATGACCAACTTATTGGTGTCCAGGATGTGATCAGCTGTCTCACTACCATCTACAGTGGACTTGAGGAGAAACACAAGGATATGGTGAATGTTCCTCTCTGTGTAGACATGTGTCTTAACTGGCTACTCAATGTATATGATAGGTAAGTAACAAGTCTTTATTCACAGTGTGTACCCCAGGAAATTAGTGTTAACAAAGCATAAGCCATGGAGACAGAACTGGGAAGTTTTTAAATAAACTTGTGAGTTTCTTTAAATTCACACCAGCTCTTTCCAGTGAGAGCACTGAATATGAGGACATGAAATAGTCCACTGCAGCAGCCCCTACTGGTTTTGGGCAGTTCTTTCTGAGCCCCCAGACAGTGCTTTCTTCTGCTGAGTGTCAAACTCTGACCCCTTTGCCCTGCCTTGCATTATGTCAGCCTTCATGACTTACAGTCAGTTTTGTTTTGTTTAGTTGTGCTTCTGAGTTATGAGTTTGTTGCACATTTTTGTTGGTGGTGGTCACTATTATCGCCTCCCTTCTGTAGTAAAATCTGGGAAAAGACTTGGTTTCCATCAGGTCCTTCATTCCCTATGATGTTTCTCCTTATATTGCTAGAGCAAAGGCATTTCAGGACTCCTCTGGAGCTGAATACATGGGGTTGTTGCTTCAGTGTGTCTAACTGAATATGTCCTTTAGTTCAGCATTACAAATCAGAATTTATAAGCTACATGAGGCTGGTTATCAGATTTCTTTCCCTCTTCCCCACGTGAAGATGGAAAGAGCAAAAGTATTTCTCAAATAATGTTAGAAATTCTTAGGCTTTGCAAAGAAAGGTGTCACTTGTTGATGTATGCATTACCTTCACTATGTTCACTCGCATAACCAGTGCCAAATTCTAGAAGTTCATAGCTTTTGACTTTTTTCCCCCCAGAGGATTATATGCCAGTAGTCCTATACTTTGTGGATATTTTACTTTATTTTTGGTTTTATTATTGTGGTAAGAGAGAGGGAAGGAGGGAACAAAGTAGATATGATCATTCATTATTTATGCCTTGATGACCTATTATGCTTTGGCAATTGAATATTGCTGTTTAATATTGTGACATTTCTGTTAGATGGATTCCTCGTCATTACTGATGGAAAATTGGAGAGCCCAGCAAGTAATGACTGGGACGACTTCTTGCAATTATTTTTATTTTGCAGAGTTCTGTATTGTGGGTGAATAAACACATCATTTGCAAATAGAGCAGTAGGTCAAGTGGGTTGCTTAAATTAAATGTTATTAGTTATTTAGAATAAGAGACTTAATAATGTCAGAATTTTTGTAGCTACTAGTTGGGTTGAGATTTTTTTTCAGATTGATCAGAAATTCATTTTATTTTCTTCAGCTTTGCTTCCTGATTTCAGCTAGAACTCAGTTATTTAATCTGTTCATATCTAAAAATGAACATAGTAATCAACAAACCTTTCTTTCAATAACATTTCCTCTTGGTCCCATTTCCCCTTAATTATGTTGAAATCTTTAGTGTAGATAATTCTTAAAGCTGATGAAAGACTTTAATATTAGGCAGACTTCGAAAAAATATAGAGGATAAAGATTTTCTGAGGTAAAATTACATTTTATAGTGTGTTTCCTTGCTCCCCTCTCAAATCCACTCCAGAAAAAAAAAAATGCTGAAAGAACAGGCACCAATTTTAAAGCGGGTTTTGTTTTGTAAATTGGCCTTTAGGAAAGAACTAATTTGTGTCTTGGCATTTCCATTGTTTATTGCTTTGGTGTTATACATCTACAATGTTTCAAACCATTAAACTGCCTTCAGAAAGCATCTGCTAGTTGCATGCTATTAACCTGAGATTTAATTACTGATTCACACATTGACAGCAAAATGAGTATTCTTCAGACTTACCTACAGATGTCTTTGGCCCTTAAAAAGAACCAATATATTTTTATAAAAAGTCTGTTGTGTTCTGGTATTTTCTGACACATCAGGAATGATTCATTCCTCTAGCTAAGTAGAGGAGAGAAACATTAAATTTTCTAGGTGACTTTTACTCCTTCAGTCACTCAGAGGTTGTTCCAGGAAACAACATCTGCCCTATAAAACATTTTCCAGACTTAAAGTTCCTCATTTAACTTACTCCAGGTACTTGTTTTATTGTTGTGGGGTTTTTTTGTTTGTTGTTTTTTTAAGTATTATTTTTGTTTTGCATAGTCCAGATATCAGTTTTGTATTTGGCTTTATTTTATTAAATTAAACACTTTGCAATGAGAGCTGTGAAGGAAATTTTTTGCTCTATGAAATCATTTGGCCAGGCCTTGGTTTAAATCATCCAAAAGCAATAGCTAGTGGTTGTTGTTCTGAACAATATACCATCAAATTTCCTAAAATCTCCAAATGTCTTTTTTGTGAAATGGACTGGCAGCTTTCAGTACTAATGAAGTAGCTTAAAACCCTTTGAAATGAGTTGTTCCAGATATTTTAAAGTCTATCATACATAATATAGAATACATGTACTAATTCTGGGCCACTTTCTCAATCAGAATGACCCTTAAAGAAACTTTTACATCCACTGTTTTTGATACCTTGCTGTATTTATCTGTATTCATGTATTTCAACTTTTAAATTTTCATGATTTTTTTTTTTCTTGATTTCCTGATGTTAGGATGCTTTTGATAATACCTTATTTTAAGCTGAATTTCATTGGCACGTTAGTATTAGCATTAGGAAGGGTGTCTGTGGAATGGCACTTAGCTAACATCTTCCATATGATCAAAGCTGTCTTTCATGACCATTCTCTTATGTCCCAGTCTTCCTCTGAAGCGTTAAAACTGTTATTTGTAGTTGCACTCATACACCTGACAAATTCTAACACCAGGCTGAGTTAATATCCCAGGTTTTCCCAGCATATTAATTTCAGCAAAATCTGAACTACTGAGGAATGAGAAGGGTGAGGACCTGTTCAGTCAGCCTTACCTTTATGCCCTGGTTTTGATGGTAATTTTCTGAATGCACTTCAGAGTCATTCCTTGTGTGGATGATAGCTGTCTTGATTCCTAGAGGACTCTGTGGGAGCAGCTTAGCAGGCTGTGATAGGAGTGAGAAGTGCACCAGGGGAAGGACGTGACCCTCTGTGGGGCAGGAAAATGCGCTCCTGGCGAGTTCTCTGTGTCTGATCAAGGAGAGGCATCTGTGGGGACCTTCAACGATCTAACAGGCTGTCTTCTGTTGCTGGGTTATGTAGGTAACTGATAGCTAGCACCTTTGATAGCCCTCAGTCTGTGTTGACTAGCCTTAAGAGCTCTTTGACAAGAGAAATCTGAGCTGAAGTGGGCTCATCTTCTTATTCTCCAGTTTTCGTTGCTAGTGCCTGATGGTTTTATGCTTTTGCCTCCCATCCCCAGGAGACATAGGATTCCTCTGGACTTGATATTGTATATCTTGTTTTCTATTGTTTTGTCTGTCATCCTTATTGTGCATTCTTGTTTGCAATCTCTTACACTTAATCTTGACCTACAATGGGCAGCTGTTTGTTACATGGCTGACTCCTGTGTGCAGCTGTGCCCATCACTGCTCTTTTGGCATTTATATTGTTCACATACTTAGGTAAAATGCTTATATAGCATGTCTATCTGTATAATCACAGTGATACAGAATGCCTGTAAAACATTGTTGGTAAACAGTAGTTTCATGTGCTTATATTCAACAATTTAATATTGGATTTGTCCTGATTAGTACATTTATAATTTACAGGTGTCACAGGCCTCTGTCTTGACTACAGATGATAATTTCAGATAATTAGCAGATATTATCAGATATTTATAGATAACTTCAGGTAATTTTAACCGTGCCTTGATGTCTGGAATTGAATTTCCTAAGTGTCTGAGCAGAAACAGAAATGTTAGGTTTAGGATTTAGCAGTTTTGCAGCTCAGAGCTTCCGGTGGCTGAGTAAATGCTAAACTGTGTTATAGGCTTCCCACGTGCTCCACACAGCCTGTGCCTGATGTGGTGAGGCTGGGATCGTAGTTGTTCCATTGGAGTTCAGTTGTTATAGGATTAGCAAGGGAACTCAAAAGGCAGGGATTGTGTCCTATTATCCGTGTGTTACCTGTTCTTCATCCCCTCTCCTCCTGTAGTTCCGGCATCTCCAGTAGTAAGTTATATGACAAAAGTGTTCTTCCTTTCTCCTCTGATACTACAGCCATCTCTAGTGTACCCTTTTTTATTTCTTGTTTGCTTGTGTTATTGTACAGTAGTGAAAGTCATCAGTTTTTATGTAAAGTAGCATTTTGATATTCTCTGCAGTGGTAGTGGATCTCTGAAACCACTGAATGGTTGCTCTCTGCTGGGATGAAGAGTCCAAGCTATGCAACCAAGTTGTATGTACTTCAATCCAGCCTCCCTACCAGTGCAGCGTAGTCCCATCCCAGGCCCCTGACCAAATGATCTGGTTGGCAGATTCCCCACTAAATGAGTCTTCTCTGTAGTGCGTTTTCAACACGCTCTCCTACCACGTCTGGAAGTGATGTGCATTTTTTTTTTTTTATGCCTGTTTTGGCAGGTTTAAACGTTGAATTGTTTCTGGGTTCTGCATTAGTAAAAGCATCCCCAGCAGACTGAGGGAGGTGATATTTCCCATCTGCTCAGCACTGGTGAGACACATCTGGAGTGCTGGGTCCAGTTCCGGGCTTCCCAGGACAAAAGACGAAGATTATCAGGGACTTGGAGTTTCTGCTGTATCAGGAGAGGTTGAGAGAGCTGGGACTTTTCAACCTAGAGAAGAAGTTTCAGGGGGATCTTAGCAGTGTGCATAAATACTCAGTGGGAGTTGTAGAGGAAATGGAGCCAGGCTTTTCTCAGTGATGCACCATGACAGGACAAGAGGCAGTGAGCACAAACTGAAACACAGGAAATTCCACTTAAACCTAATATGAACAGTGACCAAACAGTGGCATGGGCTGCTCAGAGAAGCTGTGGAGTCTCCATCCTTGAAGATATTAAAAACCTGACTGGATAAGATCCAGGATAACCTGTTTACCTGACTGAGCAGGGGTGTTGGTCTAGCTGATCTCTAGAGACCCCTCCCAGCCTCAGTGGTTTTGTGACTCTATTAAGCTGAGCAAACAAACCATTGAACTGGAAGTGTCAATGCTACAAGGTCTATAGTTTGGTGGGAGGTGTTTGTTTGCTTTTGATGTGATTCTTTTTATTGTATATATGATTTAGGTGCTAATATTTAGCTGTGTCCAAGAAAAAGGCTGAGGGAAATAAGTTAGAAAAATGTAGTATTGCAGGCTTTGTATTTTTTTTTTTTAATAATTTATTGAGAAAATGTTTTTTGTACAAAGGAAGTTTTTCACAGTCCCTGTAGCAATGTGCTGAAATCTGGAAAAATTTGAAGCCTCCAGATATGCACCCTGACCCTTTAGCTGCAAAGTTTTTCTGAGTGTCAGCCTTTAATAAACAAATGCTGTAGTCAGTGCTGAGTTAAATCAAACCCAAATGAATGTTCAGCTTTTTCCATGGAACACAAAGTTAAAACACATACAACCCTACACAGGAAAGAATGGAGAAAGAACTTTATCAAGGTTGCAAAATGTGCCATTTACACATTAAGGTATGCCAGAATGATGTAGTGTCTGTGACTGGAAGAGGTAATTTGAAGCTAAGCTTGAATGTATAAAATAGATGGCACTTTTATAATATTCTGGAAAATTGGGTTCTGATTTTCAAAGTAGGCAGTAAAAGTAATGTATGTTTTTGATTAATTTTACAATAATTTCTCTATACCTCTGTTCCAGCTTGTGGAATGGAGAGCATAATGCTGTCTACTCTCACTAGATTAGGTGATGGTTTTGAAGACAAATGCATTAATATTTGTAAGGTGCTTAGCTAATTTATGGAAAGCCCAGGAGTAAATTAATAATTTTTTCTTCGTCACATTTGTGAAGTAAATCAGAGAGGAAAGCATATGTTGAATGGATAGGACAGAAAGAGATATCTAATAACCACTCCAGAAGTAATTAAATGATACATCACTTCTGCATGACAGAAGGGACCAAAGTAATGTTTTTGGTGATATTAACGTCAGTATTATCTTACTTGCTGGTGGAGGACCCAGCTAACCTTAAATGCAGGAATTGTGTATAATATGTGGAGTTTACTATTTTGCCCTTTTTTTTTTTTTTGCTTTGTCTCATCTAAAGACAAATTGTGTTGTGTTTTTTGATCTTTGAAAGAAGAATAATCAAATCTTTTAAGAATACGTTTCTGCACTGATCTTTTAAACTTTAAAATTGTCCTTTTCCATGTACCCTGGGTTGATTGCTTTAGTATCTTTTTGAACAGTGTTTGTCTTGCAGGTTTAAAATCACTTGCTTTGATAACCACTTATCTAGTCTCAAGTTGCTTTAAGGTTTGATATGTGTTTTTGGGGGGTTGGGCACTCTTTTTTTCGCGTTGGACAAGATGACCTTGAAGTCATACTGCTTAAAAAGAATGACTGCTCCACATGTAATGCATGTGGTTGACTCCTTATGTCCTATTTTCTGTGTATATCAGAGCATTTAAAACATGAAATAAAAAAATGAACTGGAAAAATAAATGGATTACCATGATATAAAAACTTGTTTTTATTTCGCAGTCATCGTGTTTCACAATGAGTAACAGGCTTCCCTGCAGTGTGCTCATGTATTTTTTTTTTTTCTGTGTATATCACACTACTAAATCATGTTGAGAGCTTTACACAGTTAAATACTTGCCCTTTCAGATTAACATGAACTGTTTTGACACGTAAACCACTTACAAGGCAAGCTGAGCTTTTGTAAGGGAAGCATTCTTAATGTGATTTGTAGTGTTAATTTGTTTTGAGATTTGAAGTGTATTTGAAGTAGATCTCACCAATGCCTCTGCATTTTTTAATAGACTGGAGTTGGAATGAAATAAAAGTAAACTGTATTAAATTCTCTTCTCTCTACAATTTCAGTGGCCGAACTGGAAAAATTCGAGTGCAGTCCTTGAAAATCGGGTTGATGTCTCTTTCTAAGGGCCTTCTGGAAGAGAAGTACAGACGTAAGGAAGAATGTGTTTTATAAAATGCTTACTTTATATAATTGTTCTGTACAATAACAACACACATTACATTGTAGCAAAATTTATGGTAAAAGATTTCTCTTGCCTGGAGCAAGCTAGTTTTCTTGTGAGCAAGTAAAATAGAATCACTGTTTTCATTATTATCAGTGACAATGGAGGAAGTAGGATTTATATCCTAACTGGAAAGTATTGATGTCAGTTATGCATTGTCAATAATGCACAGTATTGCACTCCCAAAAAGCAAAGGAGAATGTAGCCATGTGGAAGCTAGAGAAGTATTCTCTGTGAACGATTCTGTTCTCTCTTGTGTGGGGGTGTTTTGTTTAGGGAACACTCAAGCAAGTCAGCATTGATTTGAACAGATTGATATGTCTGATAAAGCAAGGAAATACATCAAAATCCAGCAGCTGTATTTTATGGTCGTTGAGAAAGATAATCTAAACTCTGAAAATAGTGTACAGTATATGTTCTTCCTACCAGAATTGTACAGTGAAAGTTTAAATTATTTTGATTTAAGTAATCTCACAAGCTTGACAAATACTGAGAATAAGCATATTTCATAAAAATAATTTCAGAAGCAGAAGAGAATTGAGTTACTTTGTAACAAGACCCCCGACAAATAGAAACCAAGAGATTAAGCACTATATAAGAGCATCCTAGTATGGACAGTTGTATATTGTGCACATCATCTTTAAATTGCTGTTCTTTGCAGTAGTTCCTTGACAAATTTCAGAAACACCTGTAAAATGTGTAGGGACTTTATTTGCCATTTAACATTGGAGCTCTAAAATGCTTTCTTAGAAGCATTTGTAGGTAGTCTTGGTTACTAACACCAAACAAATGTACAAGTATCTTATGCATTTGGGCACATTTTGACATCTGAATGACATACTTTGAGTAAAAAGCTTTGAGTTTTTTAGTTTCCTTATCTCATTTGACATCTTTGTGAATTAGTCCATACCTAAAAGAGATTGGTGGGTTTATCTTGGTTCAGTAATGACAATTCAGGGGGCAATCTGCCATTTGATGTAAAATAAAAAGCTTCTGTGAAGTATAGGAGTTGTTTAGATGGTGGATGACAGAATGATAACCCTACCAAAAGGTGGTTTAAAACACCAAACAAACAAACAAAACAAAAACCAACACAACAAAACACACACCAAACCTGGGAATAAACTCACATTAAATTGCTATCAGTAATGAATTAGTATACTTACAGTTACCAAATACAGGCACTAAAGCAGAACAAGGAAATGACTAGGTGAGATTAATTTTTATGTTGTTGTTTTGTGTCTGGTAGTAAAATCAAAAGGCAGCTGGTGATGACTGCAGATTTGCATAATCTATGTTAACAGTATTTTTTTCCTGAAGATTGCTGTGAAAAGTCCTTAAAAAATAGCACAGAAAGAATCTCAAGAGACTTTTGTGCCAAGTGATCATAACTTCAACCTGAAACACATCTTTGAAATACATTGAATAAAATTTAAATATCTACTTGGCTTCTCAAACCAGGGAATTAGTAGTCAGAAAACGCATCTTTTTTTGTTGTTGTGGTAACTCCTGTTCTGATCAATGGGCCAGGCTTTGATAAATTTGTTCAGCCTTAGTGTCCTTACAAACCATAAAATTGTCACAAAGCCAAACTCTTCAATCTGAAAGAAATTTTGCTGTAGAGGCAAGGAAGTAATGATTTCAGGTATTGGTGGTTGTTCCTGAGGTGACTTTGCAGTCAGCATTTTGGGGTCCCCTGCCACCATTTGTGTCACAGACTGATCTTTGCTGCAAGCTCTCTTGCTTGTTTTGATTTTGTCACGCCCTACTAATCTACTGTTTGGGAGAAATTTTGTCGTACCTGTTGAGCTTTTGGATGTTCAAGTGGAAACCATAATGGAAATGCTAAGTATTTTCAAGAAATTAAGTCGTTTGGTAGGAGGAGCCGTACCTCCAAACATGGGTGCTTAATATGCTTTACTTACCTTCTGATTTTTACCTTTCTCAGGCCAGCTCCTGCAATTTGCTTCTGCTTTGGTCTGTATTTCTTTTAAGCATTTCTGAGGTATTCTCAACCCCAGGCTCCTTCTGAGTGTCACAGTCATTGTATGGTTGCAGTTGGAGTCCTTAGCAGAGTACAGACCATGCCTTAAAAAGTTTGTAGTGTTAGGGAGATATACTCTTCTCAGAGTAGTTGGTAGTAAAATAGGCAAGTTTCTTGTTTTAAACACTTCTGGATGAACCCTTCATTCTTCTGTAAAACTCTTAACCACACTGTCTGCTCCATTGTTTTCTACCTCAGCCATGCCAGAGAACAGCCTTTCAGGGATTAATTTGAAGAAACTTAATTTCTAGGGCTGATGAGACATTTGGTTTATGAACTAATATGGTAAACTGACAGGGGACGATAATTACAGTTTACCACTGACCTTCATCTTTCTTTCTTACCTTTTTTGAGGAAATAAGCTCTTATTCTTTTCTTTTTCTTTTTGGTTTTAACAGCCACCTTTAGTCACGTATATTTTCAGTAAAAATAAGAATTTTCATTCTTGTTTTTATTATTTTAACAATATATTTGTTATTCTATCTAGAATTCTATATATAATATCTTAATTATTCTATCTAGGTTAATATCTTTCATATTCAATTATTTATTATGTGACCTTTAGTCACATTCGTTTCCAGTATAGCTAGGATGTTTTGACTTGACACATTTTTTTAAAATGTTTTGCCAGAGAAATTTCTTTCTTTTTTTTTTTTTTCCAAATTAATTAAGCTTCTTATTAAGATGCTAGACTCCAGGGTTGACATGAGAATGGATCTTTAATTAAAAAGAGTCCCAATTACTTTAGAAGAAATATTGAAGCCTCAATTAAAGAATGCCTATTTTTTAAAACATTTAAAGACATGCTTACCTCCAAGCACATGCCTGGGTGCTCCTTTGAATAAAAATGGACCTGCAAATGTAACTGAGTTGCTCTGAGCTGGTTATATCTATACTAGTCAGGCAAATAGTCCAGAGCTTCTTTTCTTCTGGTGAGAGTCCAGAGACCTGGTCTGGCTGCACCCATGTTATGGTCTCTGTTCTCCCTAGAGGAGGTGAGCCACACGTGAGCTACCTATTGAAAATGATCCCAGGCCCTCCCTAACTCTAGTTATTTTGGGGGCAAGGGTTAGTTGACTTTGATGAAAATCATGATGGATACACTTTTAGCAGATGAATGATACTGATAACAGCGTTCCACTGTGGGGCTTAGACTTCCATGCCACTGCTTGGTTCATGGCTATAGAAGCTTTAAAAAATGGAAAAAGGAAAAGAAAAAGAAGGATGCACATGACAAAAGATAATACTGGTTTAGTTCCAAAATACTCAGAGAACAATAAACCAAACACTGTTTCTTTTTACCACCACTTGTTCGTGTATTATTACAGGACTTCTGAATACTGTGGAAAAATGAAACATTTTTAACTGCTCAATTTTAGTGTCTCAAATGTTCTAGGAAGGTGAATTTTAATCATATCAGCACGTGTTTACAACAGTAAAAATATTAATTTGCATGTGTGATTATTCACAGCAGGTTTTATGTGTAGTCGTGCAATCAGGAGACAAATGATAGCTCAGTGTGGGTATCTTGAGGGACAGCAGGAGCTGGATCTTCCCTCCCATTTCTTCAGCTTTACAGCCAGAGAGAAGTCACAGCCCTGTGTAAGGACTAGGAGCACATTTGTGTCCATTTTGCTCTTACCTGGGCTCATTTTTACACAGAAAACCCAGACTGCCAGTAGAAACAGAAAACATGTATGGAGGTTTATTTAGTATGCAGATTTGTAGATTTTGTGTCATATAATTTAACATGTAAACCCAGTAGGATTTGAGTTGAAAAAGAAGGGCTACTTGAAAAATATAAGATGTGAAACTGTTCAATCTTCAAGTGTTGTATAATATCCTTGGGAACATGATTTTTTTTTTTTTTTTTTTTTACTGTTATGCTTATGCTGTTAATTTTCAGACTAGTTGGAAGTAACTCTGATAGTTTAAAAAAAAAAAGGGAAAAAAGAATGAGCATCCGATTTGTAACAGTGCAATAACAAATAATTTTTTGAGATCTAGCTAAGTTACAGTCTGAGTCCCCCTGGCTGTCATCTTCAAAATGTTGGTGTGAGGCTGAATTTAAGATAAACTGATTTTTTCTTGCTTCTGTTTTTTCCCTGTGGCTCAGAGCTGAGCAGTCTTTTCTTTTGCTTCATCAGTCATCATTCCTGTTCTTCTTGGGTAGAGGCCCTTATCCAGCTTAACCTTTACGTCAATGTATTTTGTTGTGTAAACTCATATGATGTGTATGTACATATTGCCAAACTGCATTTACAAGAGTAAATTCACCCACATTGCTGGTGGGTGATGTACAGGGTCCCTTTTCCCACTGGTGCGAGTATGGTTTCTGGGTGCTCCCTGTCAGAGCTAAAATGAGCCCTTCTTCCATATGTCTGCCACTTGAGATCTACTCTCACCATGCCTCCTTTGCCAGGGAATAGCTTGTGGGTTATTTTAAGGAGGTAGGCCAGGTGGCAAGAATGTTTTGGCTTTTCATACCCTTAGTTTAGGAGCTTCTCCTGTCTGTCACACTGAAGGCATTGAGGGATGGGGGAAAAAGGATACTGTCCATGAACTCCCTTGCACTTGGACACTCATCAGTTGTGGCACAGCTGCCAGTGTGAAGTTTATTCATTTATTTTAAGAGGAGTGTTTTGGAGGAGTTTGAGCTCTTCAAATACATTTGCTGATTGCCTACTTGGATTGACCCTAGGTAATCACTCTCCCTGTTCCCTCTCCTGCCACATCGTTTTCCCTCTGTTTATTAGCTCCCAATCAGCTGAAGTTTTAGGGCTTAGGAGATTACTTCCATCTTCCTCCCAGCTACAGTGGTGAATGAATTGTTCTTCTTTTAGTGCCTGTTTCCACTGTAGACTGATGCAACCAGGAAGAGTAAAACAGGTGCTTTTTTATCCTATCAGCTTTTTTAAACTGTCTCTTAGAAGCTGGGAAACCATCCCAGTCACAGCTGAAGAAGCTAGCCAGGATCTGGGATTGCCAAAATGAGCCCACAGCCATGCAGAACTAGTCCTGTCACTGCCGTTGTCTGTAGGGCTTTTTCTCCCCACTGAGTGCTGAAGATGCTGTAGCAGTTGTTTGAGAGGCAAGAAGGGGGCGAGAAAAATACAAGAAACTCTGAAAATTAATTCAGTCATCTGGATTTCTGTTTTGTGAAAAATCCTTTCTTCTGTTTCAGCCTCCTTTGCCAAGAGAAAAAAATATGACCTGACTTTCTGAAGTACACTGATAGAGCTTGACAGTAGCTCAAAATGAAGGGCAAGAACAATTTACACAGTGTAATAAAAGAGTTCCTCTTTTGTGCTTCTGAACAAAGCTTGTCTGTTTCTCAATCAGAAGTGCAGCCAGACTGAATTTTCAAAATTCATTTATTTCTAATCTATTAATGGTTGTTCTGGTGGGAAACATGAAAAGTAGGGTAATAGTGTAAATGAATTTTTTTTCTTGGATTACTGGAGCTTTAATTCATGCCATTCACCAAGTGCAAAAGGAGAATGTAAAATTCAAGTAGAATGAACACGAATAATTCACCTGCATTTCTTCTGTGATTTGTACAAGTCACAGAATTTAAAAATATTTCTGAGATGAACTCAATGTTTGAGATATTTCCAGGAGAGATTTTTCTTGTGACTAAATATTAATTTAGACAGCTACAAAGTTCATAAATCCAGGATTGTTCGCAGATACATGTTAATTTTAACTGGAAGTTTTAACAATTTTAAGAAAACACCTAAGAAATATTATCTCTACTGTATTAATTCAGTGCTTTACTGTAACTTTTAAGTAGGTACAGGTAGTATCTTTCTTCCAAGCATCTGTATCTGGAGCAGTTTTCTTGATCCCTTTTGGCTTCAATTTTTTCTGTCATTGTAGTCATCCCAGAATATGCACTCGTACTGCAGGGCTTGACACCTACCTTAGGAAAAGGGAATCAGTAAATGGAAAGTACATGGAAGCAGACATGGTTGTCCAGGAAGCAAATGTGGTTAATATTAAGCTCAAGTTGTCTTGCTGGCTGCTGCTCTTGCTTTAAGCTCTTTCACATGGCCAGCTGTGACTTGTGGTAATTTCTAGTCTCAGTTCAGAGCAAATGTCTTCTCTCCCCAGCCACCTGAAGGATAGCATAGTTTTTAGCATAAAATATGGATTTCTGAAATATTATGTCCTTCTTCATGGAATACTTCAAGTTGGAAGGGATGTTTAAAGGTCATGTAGTCCAACCTGTCTGCAATGAGCAGATCAGATTGCTAGATTGCTCAGAGCCCTGTCCAAAGTGACCTTGAACGTTTCTAGGGATGGGACATTTACCACTTCTCTGGGCAACTTATTCCAGTGTTTCACCACCCTCACAGTAAAGGATTTCTTCTTTATCTCTAGTCTAAATCTACAGTCTTGTAGTTTAAAACCATTACACCTTGTCCTGTCACAACAGACTGTGCTAGAAAGACTGTCCCTTAGAGGGGACTTTCTTAGAGGCCCTATTTAATTACTGAAAGGATGCAATAAGGAATCCCCAGAGCCAACTCTTCTCCAGGCTGAACAACCCAAATTCTCTCATCCTTCCTTCACAGGAGAGGTGTTCCAGCCCTTGTTCATTTCTGTGGCCCTCCTCTGGACTCCCTCCAAATTCACTTCTTTCTTTTGTTGCTTTTGTTGGGGGCTCAGGAGCTTTTTTTTTTTTTTTTTTGCATTTGGCTTTGTTGAACCTTACAAAGGTCACATGAGCCCACTTCTCAAGCTTGTCTAGGGTCCTATGGAGGGTATCCCATCCTTCAGGTGTGTCAACTGCACCACTCAGGTTAGCGTTATCTGCAAACTTGCTCAGGGTGCACTTGATCCCACTGTCTATGTTGTTGATATCAAACAGCAGTGGTCCCAGTGTAGACCCCTGATGGGCACCACTTGTCACTAATCTCCATCAGCCTTCTTCTCATCTGCTGTTGTCAGCTTGCTAGTCTTGCTCATCAGGGAGGTACGCTTTCTTTGGCACTCCTTTTCTGATTGACATACCTGTAGAAGCCCTTCTTTTTCGTTGCATCCCTTGTCAAGTTCAGCTCCAGCCATGCCTTGGCCTTCCTGACCCCACCCATACAGAACCAGGCAGTGTCCCAATACTCTTCCCAGGATACCTGTCCCTGCTTCCACTGCCTGTGTAGATCCTTCTTGGCCTTTAGTTTGACCAGCAGATCTTGATTCGACCATGCTGGTCTCTTGCCTTTCTTGCCCAATTTCTTACACATCTGGATTGAGAGCACTTGCACTCTATGGAAAATGTCCTTCCCTAGTGATAACATAGAAAACTTGGTAAATATTAGGGGTACAATATAATAATGGTAGATTAGAAGAAAAAAAATTGATTTTGTGATGTCTCTTTTGTTTTGTCACACAGCTGCTCATAGGTAAAACAGGAGCTGCCATTCACACTTTTGTCATGAGATGACATAAGAAGCCATATGGTTTTGTTCATTTGGACTTACTTTTCTCATTTGTATGGTTAAGGATCAAGAAAATGTAGTCAAAATCAAGATTAGATGAGGATAAACTGTTGTAAATGGGACAGTGGCCATGACTGGATTACAGAAGTTATGAAGTTTGAGCTGTGGTGTTACTGAATAAAAGGAAGTGAACATGGAAATGAAATGAGCCAGTGCCTCTTGTCCCTGTTGCAGATCTCTTCAAGGAGGTGGCAGGCCCTACAGAAATGTGTGACCAGAGACAGCTGGGTCTGCTGCTCCATGATGCTATCCAGATCCCACGGCAGCTTGGGGAAGTGGCAGCCTTTGGTGGCAGCAACATTGAACCCAGTGTGCGCAGCTGCTTCCAACAGGTAAGATAACAAAGGCCTTCATGTGGAAAGAAACCCTCTTTTCACTTTTATGTGGTGTAAAAAAAGAAAAAAAAAGAGGGGAGTTTTAAAACAGCCAGTAAGTTTTTCAACAGAAACGAATGTGCTCCTGTAACTAAATGTGGGACGTTGTTGGGAAGATGCAGCTGTAAAAGATGGTTTATGGTTTAGGAGAGGATCAGACAAATTACGTTTAGCAAAAAGAATATATAAATCTTTGTGATTTTGACAATATTGGCTGCTCTAAATGCTGCTAAAAATTTTTGTAGCAGCCAATTATCCTTCTTTGCATCATTTAAAGCAACCTGATACTGTGAAAGCAACACGCTTTTCCCTGCTGGAACAAGACATGATCTCAACAGAATAAAAGAATGCTGTTGATAGTAATTTTTGACCTTGTGCATCAGTAAATTAAATAGCTTTATTTTACTGACAAAAGAGCTTGCAGTTGCATGAAACGTCAAGCATAGTCATTTATATATGGTGAGCCTTTATGGAGCAGATCAGAACATGGAAGAAAGCTGTCTTGCAGCCTGCTGCTCAGCTCCACGCTGCATGCAGGGGATTAATGAGGCTGCAAGGAGCGTCTGTCTGAGAATTAAAAAGAGGGTGTCATAATGGAACACAATCTAACTCTGACTCTTTCAAGGATGTTTAAGACTCTGACTGTTTGCTAGTGATAACTAATACTGCTTAAGTGTATTGTTTGTGTGTAAGTCACTGCTTTGAGCATTGTCAGAAACTATATAGATTAAAAATTCGCTATGGCATTTATAAAACTACTGACTGCAATATTTCTGATTGTATTGATTCGAACATTAATTATTATAATGAACTTTTAGAGCATTTTTCTTTTGCCATTCTTTCATAGAAATTTCTGTACTTTTATCCAATGCATTCAAAAATTCAGCTTTGCTAGCTTTTTTCAGAACTATTAGTTTCACTTGTGGACTCTGAGATGACTGGAATTAGAAAAGTGTTTGTTGATCATTAATAATTTGGCAGATGCTTATTGAAGTTGGTTTGACCAGTTAACCATGTAAAACTTCCCCTGAGGTTTTAACATTGCTACTTCAGACAATAAGGGATGGTGCTTGACATATCTATCACTGGCCCTTGAGTTGTTCAAGTCATACTGAAATAAATTATTCATTTGTTAGTGGCAGACTTTTTCTGTCACAGAGGAATGATCTTTATTTCCCTCAAGGATCTGCCCCATCTCCCACGCTGTTCAATTATGATGAGGGGTGCTAGCAAGGTAGTATTTCAGTACTTGATATGATATTATGATGATACTGATGATGAGGTTACATCCCTAATCTCACAGGAAGAATTCAAGTTCAGCCCCTGGTCATTAAGGGAGCATAAGAAAGAGTGCAGCTGCATGACAGTTACCAGAGCCTAGTGAAAACATGTGTTTTGCTGGTGGGGAGAGCACCTTTTTTTCATGCTGTTCCTTCTTACTGGCAAAAATCGACTTGAGCTATGAATAGGTTAGGAAGCCCAGTGGTGCTTCGTGTCATATTTTACCATTTAAGAATAACTTTCATTTTAAGTGATATTCTATTACTTCCAGGGAGCTCAAAAAGATGACCTCTGTTCTTATTGCTGACAAAGTTGATGAATAGAATACCTTTATAGCTAGGCTTCTCTAGTGGTTACAGCTTAAAAGAAATGTGGAAACATGTTGGTTTGCTTCTTGAAACAATCATGCTGGTACTTTAGTTCTGCTCTGTTTTTGCAGTGATTGCTTATAAGTGGCAGATTTCTTGCTCTCTCATTATTTCTTTATTTACCTGTTTATTTGTGTTTAATGTGCTAATGTAAAAGAATACCATGGGCTCAGATTACAATTAAAAATTGTGTGAGTCTCATGGCAATTAGTAGACAAAAGTATTACTGACTTTTAGCAGTCTGACATCAATCATAACTCAAGACAACCATTTCTTTAGTGTGTCTGAACTGCAGAACATACTTACCTTTCATGCATCCTTACTTGTTCAAGTCCTTTCAGTTCAAAGATGGCTTTGATACGGACTCCCTTAATCCTTTACTACTTATTCTATCTTTATTGCCATGTGTCTACTCTGTCACAGCTGCTTAGTCCACTATATTCTGACTCACTTGTTTTCATTATATGCATTTTAATCAATGTTATTTCTTGTATCCTGTAACTGGTTTTACATTAACCTGGCATGGAAAGAATTGACACAGGTTGTTTGTTTTTTTTCAATTGATTTCTAAGGAAAATCTCCTTGTGTGTGATATTGTTTTTTTTTTTATTTTATTTTAATTTGAATGCTTGTGTTGTTTTTTTTTCTCCACAGAATCACAATAAGCCAGAAATAACTGTAAAGCAATTTATAGATTGGATGCACTTAGAGCCACAGTCCATGGTGTGGCTACCAGTTCTGCACCGTGTGGCAGCTGCAGAAACAGCAAAACATCAGGCCAAATGCAACATCTGTAAAGAGTGTCCAATTGTTGGCTTTAGGTAAGAGGAGGAGAGCTGGGTGCAAGGTTTCTCTGAAAATATCCACACTTTGAAGTCTTCCAACAAGTACAATTCTTCTGTTTATTTTCCACCATTTTCCTGCTTTAAGATGGGATCTACCACACATGGTGAGGCCACAGTGTGACCTGAGCCATGCATTTCTGGTTCCTGCAGTACTGCTGTTAGACACCCTATGGTCCTGTGACCAACAGGTTTGCAGGGCGGGCTGTCATTGGGTGTTTTGGCATTGGTGGATTCAGTAGAGAGCAAGTGAAGTATGAATGCACCCCATGTGTTCTGTAAGCACGAGACTAAAAGGAGCTGATCAGTAAGAAAAAATGTGGGCTGCCAGTCTGCTCTCCTTGGGAGAGCTTGGGAAAGTCACTTGTAGCAGGCAATACTGAACACCCTTCCACAGCAATCATTCCCTGCTTAACACTAATGTTCACATGTTACTGTGATGAGACTTGCACAGTTCCTGCCTAAAGCATCGAACATAATCTACATTTTGTCGGTTCAAAGGAAGCTGTGAATTCTACAAGAAAAAAATGACACCAGGGATATTCTCCATGTTACTCTCCTAAATTGTATGATTTTTTTTCTGTGAGTTAGCATCATGGGGCATGATATAGTTGGTGGTTTTAGTGAGTACTGTTAACATGCATTTGTGCATTGATTGCTCCAGTGTATAAAATGATGGAGGGAAAAAAGAATAGGGATGAACTAAACATAACTGGCTTTTTCCCTTGCTGTGGTCATGAAGTCAAGTGCATTATTTAGGAATGATATAAAGCAGTCTTGTAAATTACTTAAGACTTCTTTAGGTATCTGGGCAGATGAGTAATTCTTGTTCCCTATGCTTTGTGTTTCTTCTTTTTTCTTTTTTTTTTTTGTTTTGAAGGATAATAAAATGAATCTTGAGGTTAGATTCATCTCACTTAGCTTTAGGCATGCTGGCTTTAGTCCGCCTTAGAAGAGTGAGCTAGCGACCCTCTTCTTTCACTATAAATATATATGTGAATATTTCCAAAAGTAATTAAGCTGATCAGACTTCGTTGCCTCTCTTAAGAGGAGATGGAATTCCTCTAAATGTTCTATTTTTCTTAATTAATGCTTCAGGGAGCATAGGGTAACAAAGCTCCAGCTCAGATGTTTTTTAGATCCCTAAGTTCGGGCTGATGATTCTTGTCTGTACTGAAGTATTTTGTGTGGGCAAAGAGGGCATAAACATAGAAAAGAAGGGAAAGGAAGACAAAGGAATGGCTCATTTTAGATAATTTCTACAATGAAGTTAGAGAACTGTACCAATAAAAGCATCTAGCATCTTAGCAGAAGGTAGATGTTGCCATTTAATACACAGGCACTGAGCAAAGGTTATAAACAGTTGCATCAGCATCCTTAAAAGTGAACCTTCACATTTATAGACATATTCTCTTGCAAAAGAAAATACAAAACTCAGCAGGGGAAAAATGTGGATTGGTACTGAAAACTGCTTTCAGGAAGCAATTTAATTTAAACTTTAAGTGTTCGCTAGCTATTCAATTTGGTTCAGTTAGCTCATTTTAGTTTCATACAAATGGTACAAACTCATCCAGTCAGAACAACCATACTATAGAAAAACAGAGGGTGGAGTTTGGAATTGAATTGTTGCTTTATTCAGCATTAGTTACCAAAAAAAAAAAAAAAAGTATCGTGCTCCTGGTGGCTAAATTTAATAAAGGGATACCATATAAGTTTTTTATCTTGTTTATATATATACATGCTCTTAAAAAAAATAGAGGAGTAAATAAATCAGTCATTTTAAAACTTATATTATTTTTATAATTCATGTATTCTCAAGAGTTTTATTGTCCAAAACGTGTTTAAAATTTCTGAGCATCAAAACAATGTACAAACATTTAAGCTAACTGGTAGATGGAAAACCATATAAAAGTATACCAGTCTGGTTTATAAATATTTTTTTCTGAGATACCACTGGCATACTAAAGAGAGGAAAAGAAAAACTAAAGCAATATAGTTTTAAGTCAGTTTGAACTTTAAAATTATATACTTTTCACACTCCATCTGTGAAGATAATGCCTGTAAGATTTTCTACTTCCCAGCAACCTGGGCAGCAGATGATGGACACTGTCTCTTTGTAGCTATAGGAGGCAGGAATCTCTTTTAAATACTCAATAAGGTGATCTGTGTAGTGTAGGAAGGTTGTGTGAAGTGGACTAAGAGGGCTGGAGGTTTCCTGTGTCTCATAGCTGCTGCTGTATGGCACTGGTGCCCTCAGGTCTGCAGCTGTGGCAGGTGTTGGCCATGCCATGCTCCAGTCGTGCTCACCTGCGCACTTCAAGGTGCTTGTAAGCCAGTCCAAACAAATTCACTGTCCTTCTCTTCCTGCTGCTGAAAAGCAGATGACACGTTTTCAGAGAGCAGTTTTCTTTGTGAGGCTTAGTAACAGGTAAATATTAGATCTAAACTTCAGAGGCTCTAATGGTTTTGTTTGATGTCCCCATAGGTATCGGAGCTTAAAACATTTCAACTATGATGTCTGTCAGAGCTGCTTCTTTTCTGGCCGTACAGCAAAGGGGCATAAATTGCATTACCCAATGGTGGAGTATTGTATACCTGTAAGTATTAATTTACAGACTGTTCCTAATGGATTGGTCTTGCATTATTTGAGATTGGAAATTTTTTTCATAGTATTTTGTCATCTAGTTGTCCTGCCAGGATTTCTTTTTCGTATGCTTACTAGGACCTGTCTTCTTGCCGTTCTCTTTGGAAGTGTCATCAGAGACTTTGCTAGTGCTGCTGATTTTATGTGGGTGGTGTTTGGATTCTGTAGAAATGGGTAGAAGTATCCACCTCTGTGATAACCTGAACGTCACTTATATTTTGTTAAAAACAAAGCTGGAATGTTAAATAGAATCACAGTACTTGTATACTTGCACATGCGCACACACACTATAAGGGTGAGAACATCAGAGCACAGGGACTTACTTTACTATTGCTATACCGTAGGGAAGAGAATTTAATGTTCTAGTAATGCACCTCAATCATTTTTAAAGGCGCGTGATCTTTGCTTTCAGGTCCAACATTTTGCTTGCTTCAAGAAAATGTGGCTGGAAATATCATGTTTCATTTTGCTGAGTAATTGGTACTTACTGGGCTATTTAAAAATTCAGACCAGAATGTAACTGGAGCAGGTGAAAAAAAGCTGATTTCCAGTAGTGTTACAGGATTCTGTGGGTCCTTTCATTAGCTAAAAATCTTTTGAGTTATTTGGCTGTCTTTTGGTGTAGCATTTGGGCTTATTACCTGTGTTTTTCCTCTCTTTTTCATTCAGTGTGTCTCAGATTCTATTAAGCAGTGTTGTCGCTTCATTACGATCAGAAGAAACAATTAGTTATGTTAATTTGTTTTCATTAATTGTATAACCTAGTGGTATGATTTGACTGATAAATTAGTATGCCAGGCTACATTCAGAAGAAATTTTTTGAAGTAGATTTGTTGGTTTTCAATCTGTTCTCATCTTTGTTATATTCTGTCACTGGTTTTCTCCTTCTGCCTCCTCTTTTCAGAGGTTATTTTCTGGTTTTGCTCTATACTGGTTTTGTGGTATGACATAGGCCCAGTTTTGTTCATACTCATGACTGTTCTAACCATCAAGATCTGGAGGTCTACACTGTTTTCCTTCCTTTATTAGACATAATGAACAATATAGTGATACCAGCTGTGTACTTGCCTCCTTAGCCAATGTAACCCAACAGTTTGAGATGTATTTTTCGTAGGTTTAATTTTCTTTTCTTTATGAAGTTCTCTCAAACCTCATTTTCACTTTATATCATGGTCATGAAACAGAAATGTTCTTTGTTAATACAAATAATATTTAGAAAATTCTGAAATGAAAGTGTAAGGTGTATCAACATAGATAACGCTGCTGGTCTGCAGAGTAAGATAGCCTTCCTGTTGCATTAGTCAAATACAGATTACATCTGGTACAGGGTGTGGTACTATTCCTAGGACAGGGTGGTATATTTCTGATGACTTCCAGGTTTTCTCTGAAGCAGCAGATTTGATATCTAGGAGAAATTTTCTGTTCCTATTAAACATGTTCATATTATTTAATGCAAGCCATTTCATTTATAGGTAAAGACTGTTGTACAGAAAAATATATTCTGGAAATGGCTGGAATCCCCACTATCCCTGGGACTAGGGACAGCTTATGTTATAGTAAAGACTTCCATTACCGCTGCAAAAGAATTTCGTTTTAAAGCAATATTAAGTGCCAAATAAGGTAACCTAAGCCAAAAGTCCCTTCTCTCCATGAAATATGGTAGAAATTAGGATATGGGATAATAAGGGGAATAAAATGACATTCCTGATTAAAATGGGTGAAGGAAGGTGAGTGTATGGAAGGTAAAGGACGGAAATTTGGGCAGTTTGAAGTAGAACAGAATAAAAGAGAGAGTATGTAATTTAGGTGATACACAAAATTAGAGGTCCAGTACTGACCATCATTAATCTGGAAGCTGAATATGGTAGTTGGCATTATTCTGGGGTCCTTCTGTAAGTACACTCTGCTAACCCCAATTCTGTAGAAACAAATGACCCAGAATGGACTTCTTATGAACAGACTTCTTAAACACCTGCTTGACTTCCATAATCAGTACCTACACGCCATACATTTTAAGTAATCTCATCTGCATTAGGTCAGGAATAAAGAATTTATTTTAAAAAAATACAGTGTTATTAATTATTACTATTTTTAATAATGCACTATGGTTCGTGTACTAATTTCTTGCTAAATCTCTCTACATAGTGAACTCATTTAAAGCAATGTAGCAGTAAAGAATTGCAATTGTTTGCAGTAGGATAGTAGAATAGCTTATATGTTTAAATGGAATAATGGCTGAAAAATAGCATAGAGCTGGGTCTGTGGGGAAAAAAATAAATAAAAAGGAGGTACAAAAGGCCAATGAGTAGTACCTTAGAATCCATTATATCACAGTACAGATAGCCTGAATAGGGAGAGTACATCTACCTTTTCAACCAAATTCAAAGGCTGTTGGTGTTAAAGTGTTACTTTTGTGGCTGGTGTTGCGGAGCAGAGCACAAATACATGTACTCATCAAACTGTGTTAGTAAAATCTAGCTTCTCTTTCGTTCTCAGTGTATATTAATAAATTAATGTTGAGAATACTGGCAATAATTAGGGGAAAAGTGCTTCCTTGGTTAATAAAGCTGACATTTAGAACTGGAGCTTAGTCAGACATGAGGGGAAGACCTTTTAATTGTCTTCAGGTAAGCAGTTCAGTCTAGGGAAGGAACAGATTTCTCAGAAGCTCAGTTACTTAAATTTAAAATAACTTGGACAATAGCTTAAGGATTCTGTTTTTAAAATCAAATTTGTAAGGAGACAATTCTCTGTTTTCATTAGTTTTGCAATATTTGCAGCAGGTGAGAATTCATTCTTAATTTCATAATAGGGCAATGTACATGAGATAGTTGTATAGTTATTGCATCCTAATCTGTAATGCCATTTAGTGTTCATCCTAGCTTGCAGTTTAGATTTCTTGATTCTGGATATGCAAAAATTCATAACGATGATTTCGGTTATGTCTTTTTTTCTTTCATTCAGGATTTATAGATGGGTAGGGTAAGGAACTGAAAACATTTTTGACTAAGTAGAAGAAATGCAAAGTCATTGTAGGGGTTTTTTTTCACCTTTAAACAGTCTTTTGCTGAAAAGATGGAGAAATAGGATTGTTAATGTAGAATTTTACACAGAGACATGTAAAAATTTTGTAAGATTTTCCTAGCATCTAACTCAGGAATACTCTTACATAAGTATCTACATGATTTACTTTTAACATTTTTTGGAAGAGAAATTCTGTCAGTGATGATACTTGTGTTATATTAGTGTGGCTTTCTGTACCAGTGGATCCTTTGAATTTCAGATGGAAATAGTTACTGCATCAGTTTTCTTTCTCCAAACTGTTTCTGCTTCACAGCTCCCATATTCCATACTAAAACCTTAAAAGCAACTTTTCTGAGGTAATGTACAAATATAAAATCAGCAGTTCTGAAAATTTTCTCATTGAAAGTAGTCTTACTCCCTGACCTCACTGAAAGTGTAATCAATTTTTGTAGTTCTGTTCCACTGCACTCACCTGGTACAGCACCTTATTTTGGGAACTGGTGGTTTGTTGTTTCTTTTTTTCTGTAGCCTTCCTATGTAACAGAATGGCAGCACAGGTTAACCCCTTCATCTTCAAGATGACCAGAATGTTCTTTTCCTGAAACAGCTAAGAACATGATAGGCAAGACATCAGAAATTTTTGGATGAATGATAGTTCACCCTAGACTGAATCTTTTTTTCCAGGCACAAGAAAGATTATCTGCACTAGTGCCTGTTAAGACTTCTCCTCTACATAAGTCATATGAAAATTTAATTGCTTCTGACATCCAGAGAAGACAGATACATTCCTGAACATTAAGCAGCCTCTAGTGTTTTATAAGCAAAGGACTGACATAAGTCAATGGTTTCATCTTGACCTGCTTATCAATGCACTAAGCATGACACCTCACTGTTATCCAAATGGGATTGTTCTGTGGGGAAGATGAAAGAAAGCAACAAGAAAGTTTGAATCTGGCTATTTCACATGCAGAACATCGCTTTCAGCTGTGAAGTTCAGACATTGCTCTTTGCCTTGAGAAGAATAGCTATCTGGTCTTTGATATCTAGCAGCTAGGCAATGTGCTTTCTGAGCAACTCTTAACAGTCACTCAGATAGCTGGCTTATGTGATCTCCTACCCTTTTGCAGCTTACTTTGTTAAATTCTGAGGTAAGTTAGTTACTAGTGAAATTACAGCTTGATTTCATTGGGATAAATTGAAATAAACATGCAATTTATAACCGGTCTCTCCTCTTGGTGAGAAATTGCTATGAAATGCCCCTGTTTGCAAGTAGTCACAGAAGGGTAATCCTCACAATGTTACACAGTGCAAACATCACTGGTATGGCGGTGGCAGCTGGGGCCAGCCATAAATACAATTATTATACCTTTAACCTAATTTTTGTGGTATCCTATCTCATGCTTCCGTCAAGGGTCGTGAGATGCTTTTTGGAAGTATGGGTGCTTTGTTGAATGGGGGTGGATGTATGCACTTAAACATATGTCTAAGTTATTGGTGAACTGCGTCCCTAAGTGTAATTTTTTTTTTTTTTTTTAAATGGAGGAATAAAATACCTGTTTCCTTACCCCACATGCTGTGCTGGGGATTTTCCCAGCCTCTCAGTGGTGTCTTGTTGACAGCTGCTTTAAGATGAAGCTATCATCATACCTGCACATATTCTAGCCCTTACAGTAAGTGAGTCTAACAATTTTAGTTTTCATCAAGAACAGTCAGGTTTATGGTACAGATTCTACAGAATGCTACAGAGAAATAAAATTATCGAGATGTAGAAAAGTGTGGGTTTTTCTTTTTTTTAAACTACAAACCTTAAAATTTACTAAAGCATTTGAAGAGTATCAAATTCAGGTTTCTCTACTAGGGCTACTATTGAAGAATAAAATAAAGTTTTTAAATGGCAGCAATGTTCTTTTATACTGTAAATTTTACATCATGGAGCATGTCTTATTATACAAAATGTATTTTCTTGGAACTTGCTGCTTATTGTGTGTATTGAGTGGTGTCTGTGTACATTGCTCTCCAGCTTCCTCATAACCCATGAATGTTAGCTGGGGTTAATGACAGCATTCATTAGTGATGTTCACATCTCTTCTGGGAATCAGCTTCTATGTGTATATTAGAACAGCTCTGGTTTTGTGTTGGATGTAGTATAAGAAAGGTAATTAACAGAATGATGAATTAGGTGCAGACTAGTCCTTTTACATAGGTTGGAACAATGAAAGGAATGGGAAATTTTTTGGGCTTTCATTACCACTATTATTTTTTATTTGAAAAAAGAATAATGAGAAATAAATCTAAATAAAAGTATGCATATATTATAAATATTATGTATTAACATATAATTCCTTGTATATATCTGTTTATTAAGATATTATTTAATTTAGAGCTTTCCGACTGATGTATTACATTTTTGGTAGTACTTTTACCCAGCAAACACTTGTTCTATTTCTAATACATTGAAAATATACACCGTTTTATTAGCCTACATATGAAAACTGTCTCAGCATATTTGGTTGTTTTTTTTTTTCTTTTTTCCACTGCTTTGTGTGTAAATGTCAGTTTCTGAAATTTGCATTCATTTAGAAGGAGTTTTATCTGGTTTTATTTGGTACACTTATGACCCCTTTTCTGCCTGGCTGGTATACTGAAAAGTGCTGATGCCAGTTTGTTGTTTGTTACAGATCTTCTCCTTGAGACCTTCCACTACAGACAGTTTTTTTAGTTAGTTATGTGTGCCAGACATGGCTCTTAGTTATTCCTTCCTGATCTTTGTCTTGTTCCAAGAACTGAGATTTTAAATTGAATTTAAAAGCATGGTCTTTTGGCTGAAATTTTCAGTGAATGAAAAGGCTTTTTTTTTTTTTTTTTTTCTTAAGTAGTCTTGTAACTACAGTGGCATTTGTGCTATTGACTTGTGTGGAAATAGTATGTCATGACGTAAGGAAGGGTGCAAGCTGCCTGTTGGTTTAAATCTAGTGCATAGGTTCTACACAACAGTGCTTGGCTATTCTTTTTCAAAAGTAAAATGTTATAGAACATCTCTCAAGGCATGATTTTGGATTGGATTGTGTAGTGTAGTTATATGGAAAAAAAAACACAGAAAAACTTCTAACAGTTGCTTCTTGGTTGTAGGTGAATAAAAAGAATTCATCCATATCTGTTCAAATTAGTATTTACTCTCCTCAGTCAGTACGTAGTTTTTCCAAGGAATTGGGTCAGGCTGTCATACCAAATAAAGAATATATCAGAGGAGAAGTTTGGCAGCTCAGAAGACATTTATTTATGCAATATGTAGGTGCTAAAACTTTAATTCCTTGGCCTTGGGACAGAGTTCCATCTGCTGGAGTTACTGTTGCATGAGAACGAGCAGCCCTTTGGGCTGCCTCTCGTTCCTTGTTCGAATGATGCAGTGATGGGAGCAGATGCTTTCTGTGAATTATTTTGTGGATTTATCTGTATTAAAATTTGAGGGTTCAAACACTTCTTAAATCCAAATTTGCTCAGTTTGTTGTTACTTGTGCGAGAAACCCTTACCAATATCAACTTGATTATCTACAATTTCTGTTGTTCGTCTGATCTGCATTACAGAGGTTTTTAACTGCTTATATTATATATACATTAAAATACGTAGCTGCATAGGAAGTATTTTTATTTTTTGACAGTAGAGAATACAATCAGAGAATGGTTTGCATGACCTGCACCTAGTCTTCTTTGTAGTATGTAGTGGAAAAAAATGCACAAAACTGAGAGGTCTTTCACTCTTTTATCCTTATGGGTCTTCATCCACTTTGGCATACTTTTATGTTAACAGGCTTCTCCCTAAGCAGAGTGTACAGAAATATAATCTACAGTTTGTTATGAAGTTTGGGCTGGAAATGTATAGAAGCTGTTGCAAATCTTCAGCTAATGCAGGAAATGAATAGCCACTTCTTCTTTACTGCATTTGCAGGAAGAAATGCTTAATTGTAACTGCTACATGTGATGGGCACTGAACATTCTGTTTAAGTGCTCAGTACATTCTGTAAGGACATAGACTTTAAAGGCATACTAGATGCTATTGTTTCTTTCTGCAGATCTCTTTATTGCCATTTTCACCTCGTATTTTATGCTTGCATGTTTTGATTGTATCTCTGCTTTTGTAGCAGAAGTTAACTGAATAGTATTACAAAAGCAGTGCTGCCATCATTGCTTCCAGTTAAATTGATTTTTTAAAAACAGTTGCATCAATTTTAATTCTGTTCTAAAGAACACAGTTTCATGTGGAAGTGAAGGATGGGGCTAAGCATTCCGTTTTGGAAGAGCAGCATCAGTGAGGACCAGTGAAAAAGCTGGTGGTGTGAGGTGAAGGGGAGCTGCTGGTTGTGGCTTGGAAATTTTGGCTTGAATATTCTTGTGGATAATTTTTGTATTAGTCTTATCCTGTGGTAATAAGGAAGTGACTGAATCTGTGAGTTTATTACTTCAAGCACCAGTTGTCCTTATCAGTCCTGCCTCTCTGACTGTGCCCTTGGAACAGTGCCTGTACAGTAGCTGTCACTTCATCTGTGGGTTTGTTGGGGTTTTTTTTGACTGTGGGATGATACAGATAGTGGCAGAGTCCTATAAGAAGAGATTTGGTAACTTGAGAAAATGGTCATGGAAAACTTGGCCGTTGCAGCAGAGAATGGTTTAGCTTGTACTGCTCCCATCTCATGATAAACTTTTGCAGTTTAGGCATAGAATAGGAGGCAGTGAGTATTTTGTGGCATTTTGTGGATATAGAGGGCTTTTAGCTTTTTTTCTCTATTATTTTAAACAAAGCCATTACTGTTAGCTGTATTTTTTTCAGCAGAGCTATTACAAGGCTTTTCTGCCTGTGGGGTGAGACACAAGCTTCATCTGTATAAATATCCTTTATATCCTGTGTAATAATCCCTAAAGATTGCTTTCAGTGGTTGAGTGTCCCCTTGTATCTGTGAAACTGATATGCCTTCTTGTGTGTGTCTTCTAAGATGAGTTATAAACGTTTAGCTTAAGACTTGAACTTGTTTCAGTTTTTCCTCTGATTTATAAAGCAATTGGTAAGTCCAATGCATTTATTGCTGGGAATTTTAAGCCACACTGTTTTGTTGTTTTTTTTTTTTTTTTCAGTAGAAGAGAATTTGTAAATGCATTACCATTATTATTGTACCGTATTTCAGAACACTAAAATGCAATTTTAGCATCAATAACATTTTGAAGTTCTTCCTTGTATCCTTTTTCAGGACAGTAGCAGCACTACTTTAGCAATGTTCAATTTAATTTATTTTAACTTTTTAAGACAACATCTGGGGAAGATGTCCGGGACTTCACAAAGGTGCTGAAGAATAAGTTCCGTTCAAAGAAGTATTTTGCAAAGCATCCCCGACTTGGCTACCTACCTGTGCAAACAGTTTTGGAGGGTGACAACCTGGAGACGTAAGCTTGATTATAGAGCCATTACTCCTGGGGTCATTGGCCTATTGCATTAAAAACAAAAAAAAAATGAAACCTGAGAAATAATTACAAGTAGTTATAGAGCCTTGTGCTGTATTATTTTCTACTATTTTTTTCATGTTATTTGCAGATCTTGCCTGTTTTTGAAAAAGTAACATATTTTATACTTGAATTTCTGTAAGTGATTTATCATAAAGCCATGGACTTTAACAGGTAATATTGGAGAGGGCTGAATAGCTGTTTTACAGAGAACACTTTTATAGCTTTGGGGAGACTGGGCTTTTGGAACTGCACTGCTTATTTGGTTATGTCGAAGTCCCTAGAGTTAAAAATTTCTGAGCTAATTATGTTCCTACAGGCTTCAGAAATATAGGTGGGCTAATAAAAGAGCACTTTCAGTGTCTCCACAGTATTACACATGGTGCTGGCAGAAATAACTTCACTTTATTTACTTACTGGGTAGTTGTCAGCAAAGGACACTCTTAAAAGAACAAATTAAGATGTGTTGACAAGGTGCTAGAAGTAGTTCCATGGATTGACTCTGCTTGACATCCTGGAGTCTGCGGTACTGCTGCATCCTCTGACGGAGCACCACTCAGCTAGCAGCAGCAGATGTGAAGCTTCAATGTACATGCTCTGCTTTCATGCAGCAGCCCAGTGCCAGTGTCCAGGCTTGCTGTTTTCATGACCAGAGGACTGTGCATTTTATTTACAAAAAGCAAAAAAAACTCTGCTCAGTGGTTTAAGAAGCAGGAGGAGGTAGTCTGAAAAGTGGCAGTATTGATGGTATTGCTTCTGAGGAAGCAACACACGTTCAGATGTTAAGATGTTGTTCACTGGGGCAGTCTTCAGCTGCCACCAACACAGGAGAGCGAAGCTGCCTTGATGTGATCAAAGTTTGTCAATGGTGCCAGAAATTGGAATGCCAAAACTGTAATCACAGGTCAGCATAAAACTCTCTTGGTCCAGCCATGTGGGAAATATACAGATAAATTGCCAGCATCATGCTGAGGAAACTGTTAGTATTGGTTCTCTTCCCTGCAGGTGGCAAAACTCATTAATACGTTCCTTTAAGTAAAATAAAGAAAAGAAAAATAAATCACCAACACCCTAAATAGTTGCTCAGGTGTCAGAATATAAGACAATATGTATTTACTTCTGATCATTTTTATGCAGAAGGAAAGTAAGCATTAGTAATTTTGACTTCTGGTAGTTTTTTTTGTTTTGGTGGTGGTGCCATATGTTCCCCCCCTTCCCCCCACCTTTTATTTTATATGTATTTTCTAGTTAGTTTAAAATGAAAGCTCTGATACTTCAGCAGAATTTGAATGAACCAATTATGGTTGATTGAACTGTAGTTCAATCAATAACACTGATTCTTTTTTTTTTTTCTTTTTATAAATTGATTTTTATTTAACAAAATGTCATATTTTGGCTTTCCATGATACACAGCAGTATCTATTGCTGTCTTTTTTCTACATCAATTGTTGCACAATTCAGATAACCTGGATGGGTTGCTGGTTAATATATTTTGTGTTTCTCCTGCTTCCTTTTGCTTAAATGACACAAAAGTTTTTGTTTCATAGTTTCTTTCTCTCTCTTTTTGTCTTCCTTACAGTCCTATCACTCTCATCAGTATGTGGCCAGAGCAATATGAGTGAGTATGCAGAACCCCTTTAGGAGAGCTTAGTATACTGGTTGTTTTCTTTTAGCTCAGTTACAACTACTCTGATGTGCATGAGCTCTAGGGCATGGCTGATCCAAAGCAATAATCCCCTTGGCAATACTGTGAATTTATTTATTTGTCATCAGTCTAACTTGCTTTAAAAATAATGTTGTTGATATCATGAATTGCTTTAGACACCACTAATTTTTTTTTAATTTTTTTTTTTTTTTTTTTTTAAATTAGTCCTTCCCAGTCTCCACAGCTGTTTCATGATGACACACACTCCAGGATAGAGCAGTATGCTACTAGGTAAGAGATGCACACTTTGTCAGCAGTACACTGCATTTTGTGATTGATTTCTGCAGATTTCAATATACTCTACTGACTGGACATTATTTATTAAAAAGACATCATTCTTTATACTCCGAAGTAAGGCAAATGTTTTTAAATTCTGAATACAGTCATATTCAATGTAAAACTTGCATTAACTCCATTATGTCATACAGAATGGAAAATCTTGCAGAATTACTGTGTGATCTTTCTAAAATGTGCTGTTTTCCCTTTGTTTCTTCATTTTTAGCCTTTGAAATGAACTGAACTTGTTGGATATATAGTTTTTCCCTGTAGGATTTTAGATCCAGGGTTTCATTTTTTTTCTGTGATAGGTGGACACTATCCATTACCATTGACTTTTAGCAAAATATATAATAACGACAGATGTTTTACGTTCTGGATTTTATGGGGTCACCCTAGTCACCCTTTCATGATAAAGTGTCTTATTATGCCAAGTTCATCTCAATGCTTCTGTGTTTTGCTGAACTCTATTCTCTACATTCAGAGATGGTGGTAGTTAAGCACTAACCAGATGTACCCTCTCAAAAATAAGTAACACCACCCAACTTTTAGACAGCAAAGAAGTTAATCCATATTACTATAGGAATGGACAGGATTTTGCTTTGGGTGTTTTTATTGTTGTATCTGATCTCCACAACTAATAAACAGTGTTAAATTTTCAGCGCTTTAAATAAAACTTCAGAACTTATGTTTAAGTTAACCAAATTCTTATCTAAGGGTGCCATAAGAAAGCTTCAAAGCAGTTTGTTAAATACCTAGGATATCCAACGCATGATCTTTGCAGTAAGGGAAAAATAGGGCAGAAACTAATGCTGAAGGGCTACCTATTTTCAGCCTCAACTATTTTTTTCCTCCCAACAATGAAGATTTTGATCCTTTATTAGTAGCGTAGTACATTGTCAAAGTTGTAGTGCTTTTCAATTAGTTAGAATGTGTTATTCATATAAACCACACAATATATCTTTGATTCTTTGAAAGTTAGGCCATGCTGTAGTCAATTAAAACTCATGGAGCAAACAAATACGACCTCTCTAGAAAGTTGTGAAAGTTGTTGAAAGATTAATATCAAAAATTTTCATTAGAGACTTAAGGATGCTGACGTAATCAGCATTGCAAAGGTATCTTATAGGCATGTTACTCACCCTGAACCAGATCTGAGGTGCCTCAGAGTAGAGATAACATGAGTGTCTCTAGTCACTTAGGAGCTCGCCCTTCCCTTCAGGGGACGTGTTGGAGCACAACATCCCCCACCCAGCCATGGTGAGACAAGACGATCAAGACAACTTTATTCTGTTTCTGCTTTTCTTTGTCCTCCTTCAACCCTGAGGAATATTAGTGAATATACAGATGGGCAAGTTTGCTCCCTGCTAAACGAAGACACCAGAATTCCCATTTCTTCAGGGCCTTGCACACTGCTTTCAAAAAGAAGCTTGATGCCTATAATAATGCATAATGTCATATTTCATAAAAACATTCAGGGATGTGGTGCTCAAGGGACATGGCTTAGTGGTGACCTGGCAGTGCTGGGTTAACAGGTCTACTTGATGATCTTAAAGGTCTCTTCCAACCAGAATGAATCTATGATTCTATAACACACTTGCAAAAATATATATGAAATTAAGATAATTCTACAGTAAAAGAAATAGATTTATTTGGTGCAGTCCAATATATATGTACAGAATTGAGTGTTCCTAGATTTTTACGTATATGCCTTAAGTATATAAGATGTATCTTTCCTAGAAACTTAAGTAGACAGAAGATACCTGCTGTGATATTAAAGATCTTTACGGCCTTATAGAGGGAATATATTGATCCAATCCTTTCCTTCCAAAACAAGGAACCGTAGACAATGACTGCCTGTAATTAGAGTGGTCTTCATGTTGTTTTCTGGGACTTGTCCATCCACAGTGTGATGTTGTTTGCCAAGCGTAATTTCAGATGTTGCATGTGCTATACTTAAAGAGTATTCATCCTCTTTTGTTAGACCAGCTTTATAAAATTCAAATAGAAAACCATCTGTGAAAACATCTCTTTAACTAATTTTACCATGAGAGTTGTGGTGGTGCTAACGATAATTACACTAGAGATAGAAAATACTCTTGTTCTTTGTTGTTTGGCAAGTAGAATTAGTTAATCATAGCACAAGTTTCTCGTTAAAGTCCTCTGGATTTATAGGGTTTTGTCACAAAATCTAGGAGTTTATTCCTGTTCACGTATTCCAAGACTGCCAGTGTCTTAAGCTTTTTTTAAGTAGAATTGATCTTCACACTGCCTCTGTTCAAACTGTGCAGCATGTTCTCTGAAAGTCATGGTCTTTCCCTGCCTTTCAGGCTCGCCCAGATGGAGAGGACCAATGGCTCATTCCTCACGGACAGCAGCTCCACCACAGGAAGCGTGTAAGTAAATCATACTCGCTAAGGCTGACAGGAACTTTGGTTATAGATATATGATACAATCTCCATAAATTGTAAGACAGGTCTTGGTCCCAGAGAAAGTAGATATTAACTGTGATTTCAAGGATGCCTGCATAAGTTTCATCATTCAGGTAACAACTGTAGAAATTTGTAATGTTGTAAGGGAACTCTATAGTTGTCATCCATTCTGCTTCAAAAGTGTGAATAGCTCATGCAAACTGAAAAAAAGTCACAGCTCTATCGGTTCTGGTTTGTATTCTTTTTCTGATTTTATCATACTACAAAGGAAATCCTTCTATGTTGCAGTGGACAAGGGAGTGAGTCAAAAGATTGTGCTAACTGGCAGGACAGTTCTTTCAATGAAATAAAATTGTCTGTGTTTGAAGGTGGTGCAGAGCCTGAACAATGTTGTTACTTCTTGTTTATATTTCAGTATTTCAGTTGGTGAGGTTTTTTGTGATTTTTTGTTTTGTTTTGTTTGGTGTTTGTTAGGCATGTTTTGTCGGGCTTTTTTTTTTCCCTTTGCTTTATTTTTTTTTGTTGTTTTTATGTGTGTCACTATTATGGTAAAAACCTTCATTAAAACACAGTGATGAACTTGGAAAGCATAGAAACCTTTGAATTACTGATGAATTAAATTTTTTTCAGTGTAAAAATATATGAATGTTTTAACCTCACAGTATAAATGATTCTGTTCATTAAATCAGTGTAGTAAGACTCTGACTCTTAATTTATTAATGAATGTCATTAGCGTTTTTAAAGATGAAGCAGAAATAGTTCTTGTTCAACTTTAGTTGGAAAATACTATTGCTTTTCAATATTTCCATTTACTGTTTTAAAATCTTATAATTATATTATCTTACCTCTGAATGCAAATTGAGATTAAAATACTATGCTTCAGAGAAGCATATGTGACCACCTTTAAATGTTTCCTCTTTCCTGCTTAATTAACTCTATTTACATACCTAATAAAACTTTTTTCATGCATAACTGTTTTCATGTATTTCTGTCATTGGTGTGCTCACCAGCGAGAGAGATACAGCCAAAATGCTCCCTTTTGATTTCCCTTCCAAAAAAAACCTAAAGAGCCAAATATACTGTTATTTGGCAGGAAGCTGAAAACTTGAAAGCAGCTAAATGCTCATACACTTAATTGAGTTGTTTATTTTGCCATTAATGAGTCTACTCATACACAAAGACCAAACAACCGTCCATCCCAATAGTAAAAGGGGGTGTATATGCTTAATTTTTACTGGCAAACTAGCTGTTGATTTGAATGCAGTTTCCCTGCTCACCTATAAAAATGATCCTTATTTTAAGGAAAAGAATTAACATTGTGAATTTTTGTACCAAGGTGTGAGAGGGACCTCTGAATTTCGATCTTATGTTGTCAGAAGAGGGCTGTTACAGAAACAATATACAGAGATTTAGAGGCCAAAGAGGACAAGAAAGTAACCTTCTACCCAATGGCACCTTCTGTTTTATGTGCAGATAATAATGCATGCTTTCACTAAGGTAAATAATGAAGTAATCACAAAATTCTGAAGGACTGCAGTTTAAAGTTAAACAATTATCATAGAATCATTTAGGTTGGAAAAGACCCTTAAGATCATTGAATCCAACCATAAACCTAATGTTGTCAAGTCCACCACTAAACCATATTCTTAAATGCCATGTCTGCATGTCTTTTAAATACCTGTAGGGATGATGGCTCAACCACTTCCCTGAGCAGCCTGTTCCAGTGCTTGACAATCCTTTTGGTAAAGAAATTTTTCCACAGTTCTACAAAGTTACAAATTTGGATTCTAGTCTTATTGTTTAAATGCACGTAGAAGTGAGCATGGTGTAATCATTCTGTATAGACTGAATCTGAAAAAACAATCTGAAATTTGGTTGCACATTTTTTCAGCTCAGATGTTGCTGCTGTAAACCCATCTGAGAAAAATCTCATTTTCTTATGGTATTCTTTCAAACATTCAGGTGGTGACTATTAATTTGGAAATCAAATTCTCTGCTTCTCATAGTTGGATTTCTGTTCTCTGATCTTATTTTTATTAGTCCTCAAGAGTCCTTCAGTTTACTGTGAACCTAAAACAAAGGCATTGAGGTGCTTAACATTGGAAGGTTACTGCTTTGGTCTTCTCAAGTTCACAAGCTCATCAATAATACTTTTAACACTCTTCATGCTCCACAGAGCATGTGTAAGAAGTCTTCTACATTTGAATGACAGTAAGAGAACATCTGCATCAGTTAAACATCATAAGGTGTTTTTGGGGGGGAAGATTTTGCGATATGCCATTTGATTAAGAAAACTTTCTTCAAGGAAATTTCTTCATTTTTAACCAATCCATTGTCTTGAATATCATTATGACTTCTTCTCTGTCCCTAACTAAGCTTTTCTAACCCTCCCTTCCTCTAAAGGTATGTGAATTCCATTAAAAACCACATTTTCCTCCATTGGAAAAATATTTGTAGATAGGAAAAAAAAGTCATAGTCTCTACTGTAGTCAAGTCCAGCTTCTTAAACATTCTAATGCTCTCATGCATGAGTTTTCTGGAATAAATATGTTGAATAAAAATATGTTTCCTTCATGTCATTTTCTCCATACATTAGGGAGTTCTGAATGTTCAGACTAGACAGTTGTGATGAATTTTCTTTGGCTTTAATTCATGTAAACAGATTTGTATCTTTGAAGCAAACTGGTCTCTTCACTTGTGAAGATGAGCATAAGGAAAAAATTGTCTTTATATCAAAGAATTATAAATAATGCCCCTAATAAAAAGATATGCCTCACAATTTGAAAAATCATGGTGTAGCAAAATGGAAAGACAAAAAAAAAGTTAGGAAAATAGGACAAGAATCGCTTATTCCTGTAGTGTACAAAATATCCTAACTAGCCCATACTGAAGTTAACTGTACTGGACATAGTATGAATACTTTCTATTTAAATGTAACTGTTTAATAGCTGTTTTATGATTAATGCCTTTACTGCCACTTATCTTCATGTCTGCAGGACTGTTGATGCCACCTCAGGCTCAGCTGAAGGCAGAGTTGGGACATATCTGAAATTGTATTTGTTAGGGGGCTGTGCACTCAGGTGCAGGACTAGGAACAAGCAATGAAGGTGGTGGTACCTTTAGCTGGCACTGCCACTCAACGTGTCCTAAGTCAAAGTGCAGCCTCACTATATGATACCTGAGTACTTTGACATTAATTAAGTGGTTAAAAGGCATCTTGTCACAAAGCAATATTGATTCCATGTAATGATAAAATTAAGAGAAGAACAAGTAAGTTAAAACTAAAGCATTTTGGAGTACCTTCTAGAACCTTATTCTAATACTTCTCATAGCATCAGGAAGTCCAGGTACACTTTATTTGGACTAGAATGCATAGGATTTAGTATGAAAGCCACAGGAAAAATTAAAATTATCAATGAAGGAGGTTCACAAATACCCACACATTACTATCAGAAATCTAATTTTACAGTTAGTTTTCTTAATTGGGTAAAATAATAAACCGATGAAAAGAAACTGTCAGGAAATCTGAATTTTTCTTTCCACAGCATCATCTCAATGCAAGAGAAGTTATATGCAACATTACTTGGCTCTTGGTTCCTTCATGCATAATGCATGTTTTGGAATAGACCTCTTGAAGATACATATCCACAAAGAGAATAGGATATTTCAAAGGCTGTTTTCTCTGCGTTTACTTGTTGGGGTGCTTTTTTCCTTTGGGATGTACTTCTTTCAAGTGTGACTTCCTGGGACACTATTTTTACTGCTTTCTTACTATGGTGAAATGCTAAAAAGGAGATACAGTGCCTGCTTTTGAAGGCCTTTGTGTACTTCTAGTTTTTCCTCAAAGCACATGGGGTCTTCAGGAGAATAACCACCAAGAAATGATGAGGGATTTATTGTGATGTTATGCTTTTATTTTGGTTATTGATTACCATCTCCAAAAAATTCTGCATGAGAGAGTCCCAGATTCTCAAAATGAAAGTTGCTTGGCAGAGACCATGTGTAACTTTCTTATATTGTAGATTATTTTGAAGCCCTGCCCTGGGGCTGCTGTGCTACTGATGAGTTTGTCTTAATTACAGTCATGAGGTTTGTTAGTGCAGGTTCAAGGTTCTGGTTTTTTGAACTCGTAGTTTTGCAAGACAGACCAGAGGTGGGAACACATGGTAAAAATATTCTTTTCTTTCCAGATAATTATTTTATCAGGCACTTCCTTCAGCATGTGAAAAAGCCTGCTGTCAGTTGCAACGTGTAATGCCTGAAAAAAGACTGGTCAATATTCACAGTCTGTCCTATACAGTTTCTGAGACTCTGAACCAGTGGGAGAGGAGGGAAATGAAATTTTCCCTGTTCTGAAAAACCAAGAGTCCAAAATATAAAATCAGCTGTATTTAACTGTGTTGATCTTACCTGCTGGACCACAATACAGTCAAAAGTATATAAGCATTTACTGTGTAAACTCTCTCTTTAAGGGGTTTATAAGTTTCATTAAAAATGACGTTACAGCTAACGCAAAATCTTGGCAAAATCTTCAGATTTAACAAATTCAAATAAATATAAAAAAAATCCATCCTTACAGAGACCTTTTAAAAAAAAAATATGCATTTCAGATGACCTACATTGTCGTTTATAAACTAATTCATCATCTTCAAACATAGACAGCAACTTTTTGATGCCTAATTATAATAACCAGACTAAACTACTTGATTACATGAACTTTTTTGGACAACATCAAAGCCTCTGCACAAAACAAGGCTGTATGAATAGTTACACAGTATCACTGAAATGAAGATGTAAACAGTGTTTTGAAACATGGATGATAAAGCTGTGTTCCCTCTCTGGCCTGCTTTAATACTCGGATCCTGTACTTGTTGAAGGTGTGACATTGAGTGTCCAGCACTCAGAGCTTAGTGCAGCTGTGTTGGTTGCAGTGAGGGGACTCTGCATGTCTTGCAGGGCAGTAGAAGCCCTGTTATGTACCACAGTGTTTGAAGCCCCCAGAAGGGTTACATCACTTCAGCAAAAGTTTAGTTGTAAGGGGTGAGATTTTTTTTATCAAGATGGTTAAAGGGTGAAGAAGTACCCTGAGGTTTTCATTATCGCATTAGGACCTGATCCAAGCTCCATTAACTGCATTAGCCTTTGTTTTGGTGTTAACTAGACTAATGCAAAATAGCAAAGTGAGTGATGATGGGTTTCCCTGAGATCACTGAAGTGGTGGAGAAGAAAAAGCAGTTACAGGCTTTTTTCTTTAGGTAAGGAATGAAAAGGAGCACTGTGTTGTTTCATTTTTAGCTAACACTGTCAGATATTCCCTGTATTTTTGAAAGACTTAAATGCACATATAACACCAATTATATTTTATTTATATAGTTCTTTTTAATACAAATGGGCATGGGAAGATCCATATTCTTGTTTCTTCTCATTAATACATTACTGATTACAGCCAAGACAGAGAAGAAATAAATGAAGGTACATTGTTTCCTTTTAAACTTTTGACTCTTTGTTTAAAGTGGAAGAACTCACTAATTATTTTCCTTTTTTGATTTTACATATAAACTTTCTGCAAACCAATAGTTCATCAGAAAAGATAAGATGAAGGAAAGGGATATACAACCAAAGCTCTATGGAAAGATCTCTTCATACATCACTGTTTTTATCCTTCATATCATAAATGAACTTATGTGGAGTAGAATGCCATGAACAGATAGAACTGTCACAGGCTATATTTTTCACTGGATAAAAATTTGGCTGGATGGCCAGGCCCAGAGAGTGGTGGTGAATGGAGTCCAGTTGGAGGCTAGTCACAAGTGGCATACCCCAGAGCTCAGTATTGGTACTTTAATATTCTTATTAATGATCTGAATGAGGGGATCAAGAGCATCTTCAGTAAGTTTGCAGATGATACCGAATTAGGTGGGTGTGTTGATCTGCCTGAAATTAGAGACACTCTACAGAGGGTTTTGGAGAGGCTACCTCAATGAGCTGAGGCCAGTGGTATGAGGTTCAACAAGGCCAAATGCCAGATCCTGCATTTGGGTCACAACAACCCCAGGCAATGCTACAGGCCTGGGGAGGAGTGGCTGGAAAGCTGCCCAGCAGAAAAGGACCTGAGGGTGTTGGTCAACAGCCATCTGAATAAGAGCCAAAAGTGTGCCCAGGTGGCCAAGAAGGCCAACAATATTCTGGCTTGTATCAGAAATAGTGTGGTCAGCAGGATGAGGGAAGCGATTGTCCCCTTGTACTTCGCACTGGTGAGGCCACATCTCTAGTACTGTGTTCAGTTTTGGACCCCTCATTACTAAGAAAGACATCAAGGTGCTGGAGCATGTCCACAGAAAGGAATGGATCTGGTGGAGGATATAGAGCACAAGTTTTATGAGGAGCAGCTAAGGGATCTGGGGTTGTTTAGCCTGAAGAAAGGGAGGCTGAGGGGAGACCCTGCTGCTCTCTCTGACTACCTGAAAGGAGGCTGTAGAGAGGTGGGGATTGTGTCTTTTCCCAAGTAACAAGTAATAGAATAAAAGGAAATGGCCTGAAATTGTACCACAGGATTGGATTTTAGGAAAAAATTCTTCATGGAAGGGGTTGTCAAGCACTGGAACAGGCTGCCCAGGGAAGTGGTGGAGTCACCATCCCTGGAGGTATTTAAAAGGCATGTAGATGTGGTACTTAGGTAAATGGTTTAGTGGTGACCTGGCTGTGCTGGCTTAACAGTTGGACTTAATGATCTTAAAGGTCTTTTCCAACCAGAACTGTTTCTTCCAAGGTATGTATGTTTCTGAATAACAGGTTTTATTATTCATTCAAATGACATCGTATATTTGGACCTCTTGTGATGAAAGGTGTTAAATTGTCTAACAGGAAATTTTTAAAAGCCCCTTGAAAAGCTCCATTGCACTTTTACTTGGAAAGGTATTAGTTTGTATATAATGAACTTCCTATTTTTTCTTTATTTGTGTTGTTTTATTGCTCTAGAGAGGATGAGCATGCCCTTATCCAGCAGTATTGTCAGACACTGGGAGGAGAGTCGCCTGTGAGTCAGCCACAGAGTCCTGCTCAGATACTCAAGTCAGTGGAAAAAGAAGAGCGAGGGGAGCTGGAGCGCATCATTGCTGACCTTGAGGAAGAGCAAAGGTCTCATAATCATCTTACTTGGTGTCTAAATTGTCACCTCACTGTTGTTTGATCTGTGTGTGTCCTATGCATACATGTTGGAGATGATATGAGATGGACCTAGGAGTCGTAATTTTAGGGGGGGAAAAAAAGAAAAAAAAATCAATGAAGGTATATGTCATGCATGGCCTGACTGTTGTGTGGGTCTGTGATATAATACTGTAGTTTCACCTCTACTTTATTGGTTTATATTTTTTCCAATAAACTACAAGTCAAGATATTGCCTTTGTATGAGCCACTGTGTTCTTACTTGGAGGTGACGATAACATCGTTTGATCTAAGGAAGTTTTTGATTTTAATTTGTTTGCTTAAATCATCATTCTCCTCTTTTCAATATACCAGAAATCTCCAGATAGAATACGAGCAACTAAAGGAGCAACACCTCCAGAGAGGAATAAACCCTCTTGCATCACCTCCTGACTCTGTTGTGTCACCCCAGCATGCTTCTGAAGATGCTGAGCTCATTGCTGAAGCTAAACTCCTGAGGCAACATAAAGGTCGCCTGGAAGCAAGAATGCAAATATTGGAAGATCACAATAAACAACTGGAGTCTCAGCTTCACCGGCTACGGCAGCTACTTGAGCAGGTAGATGTACACTGATGTCTTTCCTCTGTGTCTTTTCTGCACAATGGATTTCTTAGTGGAACAAAGGCATTGGAATTTTACTGCAGATGTTTTCACCACACTATTTTAGTCTGTTGCACTCGGTCGTTTCTGGCATGAAGAGCTATTTTTTCCTACCCTCTAGTGAAAGTCAAATGAGGCCAAGATGATTTCAAGTACTGGAGTGATCATGGTAACTTTTGAAACACTGAGAATAACACAAACAAAGCAATAGTTTTTCATGAAGTAAAAAGCAAAGGTGAGAAAATATATACCCTATTCCAAGTAGTGGTGCCATTTGCACCCTGTAATTGACTTCGGTTTTCCAATCTGTCCTTAAATAATTTATTTGATGTCATGGTTAGTCACTGAAACCATTCTCAGCATGGCAAAGACAGATGGCCAAAGTTACATTTAAAATGCAAAGGAGCAATCAATTATATTAAAATCTTGTTCTTCTTGAGTAGCATATTTAGACCAATAAGCTAGAGCAAAATTGTCTATGCACAAATGAATGCTGAAGGCAAGAACCTTTTGGCAAATGTCAGCAGGGTTTCTTTGTTGAGAAAGAAGTGTTGTTTTTGAAGTCAGCGTCCATATGCCTAGATTATAAAATCAGCAGTAATATCTACAGGGTCTTGTTACGAGATGTACTATATCATATGTGGAAGCTTGAATGATGGAAAAAATATTTGGATTAATGTTTTTTCTTAACTAATTAGATGTGGATCAGAGTACAGTAAGGCAAATGATTGCTGTCTTCCACGAGTCTGGTAGGCACCTGTACATAGTGGAAGATTTTACTAAGCCAGGAAACAGACTGCATAAACCAGGTATCAAAATGGCATAAGTTACTGCTCTAGATGGTATTCTAATTATGGTGTTATTTCCTGTTTGCTTGTTTCACTGCCTGTATTTGTCATTTTTCTAGGCAGTTTTGACTGAATAGCATTAAGATGCATCTGTTCCAATTGCTTCCCTACCCCTCTAGCAGAATATTTTTGTTGTTGTTATTGTTATTCTAGCATCTTTAATCAGTATTTGAGTAGCTTAAATATTTAACAGAGAAGATAACAACTGGTGCAACTGTTAACAATAAATCCTGAACTAAGTATCTTGAGAACTATGGCCAATACTAGGTGTCTCAGAGAAAGGTTTAATATTTGCAAAGAAACAGCTCTAGATTAGAAATGCAGTTTTGTGAAACCCACAGTCACTTTCAGCTTAGTGTTTAAAGCTTTCATCCTTTAAAACGTTCCTTTTTTTTTTTTCTTAACATGGTTGTGGATGATATTGTAATTTTTTTTAATCTTTTCAGTATCTTTATAACATTCTTAGTAAGAGCTTTAGGCTATACATGTGTGTTGTGATAAAGTGAGCAAGTGGAGGGGCAGTAGTTTCTTCTTATCAGTTCTGCCTTTGGATTTTTTCTGGACATTCAGCAGCTTGTAGTTTCTGATAGGATAAGGTAGAACACAGTTGACCTTTTTCAGTATTTCTGATCATTTACACCTCATTTGCTATATACTGTTTTTCTTTTAATTCCTGCCTGAAATGTGCCTCTGTGAGAGTCATGCTGTGTTTCTGATTGTTGCAAGTATTGTTTCCTAAGCTGTTCCTTTCTCCTCTTTTAATGAAAAGGCTAGTACAAAGTCAAGTATATGCAAAGGTCTATATATCTGAGAGTTTTCAATATGCCTTTCTATTTGCAACCTTACTTTATTTAGTGGGGTTTTTGTTTGTCTGCCACTAAGCAGATACTTTGCAAGCTGCCTCCAAGGATGCTGAAGCTACTACCCTGAAGAGGTTTCAGAAATTGTAAATAATTCAAGTTTTTTAGTAGATGTTATTTGAAACTTCTTTATTTTGGCAATAATACAGTGTTGAAGCAGCACTGAATCCCATTACTGCCCCTTTAACTTTCTGAAAAAATGACCACTCTTCAGCATTTTTGTTTCTCTGTCCCCTTGGCCATTACTGTCTGTGAAAGGCTTTACCTCTTTCACTGCTTGGAGAAGGACTTTATCAGAAGCCACTTGAGGATCTAAGTGTATTTATTTGTTTCTTTTGTGTTTAGTGGCTACCACAATTATTTTTTAGTGGATATAAGGAATACTTTTTCTCATTAGTGACATGGGCAATTTGCCAGAAAGATTCTCGTAAGTTCTAATGTCAAAATATGTAACAACTTGGTAATTCCTGTCATAATATTTACTAGTATTAAAAGACACAACAGTTTTAGAGCAATTTCTTTGCCATGACTGGCATTTCATGCCATGTCCATTTCTCTCTTCTGACAAAAGTGAATCTCTCCATTTCTCTTCTCCACTCAGCCCCCTGACTGTTGTTTGGGTTAATAACTCGCCACTGAATCTAAAATACTGGGACTTGTTCCTCTAAAATAACTTTCCTGGAGTAACTGTTTAATTTAGATGAGAGCATTCTAGGACATTCTTTAGAGAGCACCTTCAGCAGAAATACGCATGCATCCTCATTACACATTTGCCTACTTCAGGTCACAACTCTGAGGTTAACATGCTATTTTTATTTTAGCAAGCCCAAAGGATTGGTAGTTGTCACACAGTGTTGTCATTTTTGTCTGCCTGATTGATGATAGTGCCAAAGAGGAAGGTGAAACAGAAGTGGCATGTGACAACTTCGATACCAACATGTTAATCATACAGGGAAAAAAAATAAAGAATCAATTTTCATTTTTCTTTCTTCAACCCTTTTAGATAGTGCATGTGCAAAGTAAAAGACCTAGTATGAAGGGCATTTAAAGTCTGTTTGGATTTTTCTCTGCTTATCTCAGCTGCTAAGTAGAGATTTCATATGGGATTTGGTATTAAAGTTAATGGGAGCTAAAATCATCTGTGACTTGGTATATGATCAGACTCTTAAGACAGTAAACAGGGACTGCAGCTCCCCCTCCAACTGAAAACAGAGGGTCTTTCTCAAGAGAGCAGAGGAGATTTTGTTTCTTTTGTAGCTGGGAGGAGTAAGTCTGGAACAAGAAGAAGCATCTGTAATGGATATGGTAAGGGAATTGGCTGTTTTGAGGTTCCCTGTGGTCCAGAGGTTGGAGGGGAGGCTTTCTGATTTGTTTTAGGTTTTACCAAAAGCAACAGAAGTCAGTGGAAGAACGAGTGAATCTTATCAATCCTTTAAGCCACAGAACACTTCAGGCTCTTCTTCGGCAGAGACTCCAGACAGAGACGCAGTGAAATAAGACACTGTAGATCAAAAACAGTTAAAATAAATATCTCCTTTGAAATGCTTTAGAAACTTGCTTCAGTAATGCAGAAAAAAATTCCCTCAAATTCAGAATTTTCTGGAGAAGAATGCATCTGTCCCTTTGTATCTTTATTTGGTTTTGCATAACAGGAAGTTTGAAAACTCACAGAAACTGGAGCTGGAAACTTCCCTGTCATCCCTATTAGAGGTATGCTTGGTATCCCTGCTTTTATTTATTCAGGAAGAAGGAGGAGGAATATGGTAACATCTAGGGCCATTTTCTAATAGTTTCTCCTTAAGGGTTGTCTGCTGGGTTGTTTTGAGTAAGAATGCATAAACTTTGTGATGCTGAAGGGGGCTGATGATGGAAGCGATTAAATTTTGTAGGTGTTATGCAAGCGAGGTCAAGTATAACATGATTTTCTACACATTTTTCTAAGTTTCTCTCCCAGAAAAACTGTTACAGCTGTGTGTATCTAACATTTCCCAGTATCTGATTATTATATTAGGGCATTTATGCCACTACCAGAACCCTCCACTTTCTGCTCCAAACCCCATTCTTCATCTGCTTAGCTGTATTGTCCTGATTTTGGAAGAAGAGGAGATGGAGTTGTTTTAGCTTTTTCAGAATCACAGAACATTAGGGGTTGGAAGGGACCTCAAAAGATCATCTAGTCCAACCCCCCTGCTAGAGGAGGACCACTTAAATATCAGGTCACACAAGAATGCATCCAGACGGGTTTTAATTTCTCCAGAGAAGACTCCACAACTTCTCTGGGCAGCTCGTTCCAGTGCTCTGTCACCCACACTGTGAAAAAGGTTTTCCTTATGTTCACCCAAAACCTCCTATGATCCAGCTTGTACCCACTTTCCTGTTATTGCAGTCACTGGAACTATGTAAAGTAACAGTATATTTAAATTAAAACTAAGTCACCAGACATTGATTAGAAGGGGATGTGAGTTGTGGTGGGTTTTTTGTTTTGGTTTGGTTTTGTTTCATTTTGGTGGGTGTTTTGTTTTGTTTTTCTTAAATCCAACTGCAGTATTTCATTCTGACTTCTGCAGTAATTCAAACATCATTGTAAAGTATTCCAAATATGTCTTGTTTCTTCTCAGTTTATCCACTGTTAGAGTCCTCATGCTCTGCAGGATCTTTTTGTCCTTTGCAATAGCACTCCTATGTCATACTAAATAACCTCCACTACTAACTCATCATTTCAGTTATAGGTATCTCCTTTCTATCCTAATTAATCTTGACTTTGCAGTGCCCCACTCTCCTTGATCTAGTCTATGTGTAGCTGTAGCTGCAATTTCCTATCAATTCAAGCACCTTCTTCCACCCTCTGTCATCTCTGCACCATTTGTCCACCATTACTGCTTGAAGGAGAACAGAGATCCAGACTTATATCCAGGTGCAAGTTTGCATTTTGGATGATTCAAATTCCCCCTGTCCATCTCTTTTTGAGGTGGGCAAGCAGCCTCTCTGCCACTGGAGTTAGCCTTGTTGTTCTGCACTGAAGTAACTCTTAACCCTTGGAGACTTTGCTTCGTCTCTCTACCATCCTAGCTCTAACTTCATCTTGAACAGAGGTTTTTGGCTATACAGAATTACCTGCAGTTAGTTACCCCAGGACTGACCTATTTAGAGTCACCATAATCCTTTGACCTAGGCCATGTAGCTGGGTTGAAGCCTGATACTGAATAGTAAATTACTTAATTACTTGATAGGCATTCACTGTTCATAGGAGAGCCTTGAAAGTAAAATCCTTGGCTTACTTGAAAACATTTCAATTTTTCTCTGTCTTCTATATGCAGAGCAATATTTCTTGATTTATTCTTTTAGTCAAAGCTGGAAGTTGGCATTGTCATGCTGAAAGAGAGATAAGATTTGGAGGAGAAAAAAAAGATTTGCTGAGTGCTCAAGGGAACATTTCCTTCTATTTCTCACCACTGTGTATAGAAGAAAAAGAATCTTTTTCATTATTCAACAATCTTAGATCTTGTTGAAGGTGATTTTTTTTTTTTTTTTTTTTTTCTGAACTGGAACTTTTCTCAGAAAAATTGAATGTTGCATTTAAGGCTGTGAGCTGCAAAGGAGCAAAGTAGTGCACAAATTAACTGCCATTCTGTATTACCTCTTTGCATTGAGTCTCACAGGTGTTCTAGGTACTTGTTCCATCTCAGTTTCAAAAAGCTCTTAAAAGTAGTGATATTTTTTATTGCTTATGTATCTGCTTTTGACAGATTTACTTCAATAATCTGGTCTTTTGGAAGAGAGCTGTTTTTATCTTCAGAAAGATAAATGATAGGGGCAACCATTTCAGCTAAGATTCAGTAACTACATCAGATGTAAATACTGTTTCCCGTGCTTCTGTTTTTTCAGAACAATCACTTCTGGAGCTCAAATACAGTATTACTACTCTCTTCCTCAAAGATTTTCTTACAGAAAATGGGGAAAATAGGGGGGAGGGGAAACCTGAACAAGATCCCTTCCGATATTTCTGAGTTGTTACAGTGAAGAAGTCTTACAATCACTTCTTATTTTGTGTCCATTTATGTATACTTATATGTGTTCTCAAGTGTATCCATGGTTACAGCTAAATGTAATATAAACCCTAGGTGTTTTATTCTTCAGGTGAATTTAAGAGTCTAGAAAGGCTTGCCTACAACAGTTTTCAAAGTATATGGGTTCCTTCTCATCATTTTCTGGAGATTACATAGTACATAGTTTTCCTGCAAATTTGGTGTCCTCCACACTATTGAGAAGCAGCATCAGCAAGAGTGATGGCTTAAGTTCTGTAGATACAATTTATCTAAATTTGAGTATTATTGTCTTTTATGTAGCCTGAGTCAGACTCACGGGTTAATGGCACCTCCCCCTGTGCTTCGCCCCAGCACTCTGCCCTCAGCTACCCACTTGAGCAAGAAAAAAGCTCACAGTTTCATCACACAGGTAAGTGTTTTGGTCAGATGATATGCTGCGTGGGTCTGTAGCTGACTACTGAATAGGTTTGTTGGCATCTTTCTGAAAAGATTTATACATCAAAAGGAATTGATCTTTGTGATGCCACTGGGAACAAGACTTGCTGCAGCTGGAGCTGTTGCTTCCCCATACTTGCAAAAAGCTGCAGTATCACAAGAATCCTTATGACTCTGAATTATGGATTTCTGTCAACAGGCTCTTTGGTCCCATCCGTTTTGATCAGGTGAATTTGCCAGGCAAATAAATCCTCACTGAAGGGGGAACAAGGTTTTGTTGGACTGAAATGGCTAACAGCTGTTTGTCATGCATGGGTGCATGCATGTAGAACATGGACATTTGGTGTATGTGTACACCAGAGTAATCTCTCAGATACAGGAACAAATGTACAAAACACATAATCAAAGCTTCCTGATGGCTGCTTTAAAATTTCTTGTGTATCCTCTGCTTATCGTGGTATCTTGATGAACCCACCCCTCAAAGACTTCACGTCTTTAGGAATTATTTAGTATTTAAATGTACAGCCTCTGCACATGAGGGTTTTCTCTCTTGGAAAATTATTTTAAATTCACCAGTATTAGAACTCATTAATTCCACTGGAAATTAGCACATATAACTATAGACCATTGAATGCTAAAAATTAGGGGGAAACATAAAATATTTTTATCAAATCATCTTAAATGTAATTTCCTCGTTGATTTTTGTCTACAAGCCTTTGTGTTACAGATTAAGAAATTATTTCTGTGGAAAGCAGAAAATGTTCTCTTGTATACTGGAGTACATTCAGCATTGACATGTGTTTTTACTTTAATTTATCTGGAGGAAAAATGGAACTTCTTCGAGTCTGATTTAATGCACTGGTAGATTTATGAGAGATGCTGTCTAATAACACTGCCAGGAACAGAGCCAGTTGTATTCCCTAACCATTCCCTTGAATGATTTTCAGTGACATTTTAAAAAAAAAAATGGCAAGGAGGACTTTAACACTAGTGAAATTACTGGTGCATATGGAATAAAGACCATCTAAAAGAGAAATGCTGGGGCTTTTTCAAAAGAATGGTGTATTCACTCTGAAAGTTACATTACAAATCATCTAAAAGTGGAACAATTTTAATTGAACAACTGCTGAGTATAATTCCCTCATCTTGTACACCTTTTATTTATTTTAACTGTAAATTCTTATATACTGGTCCTTCTTGGCAGTTTCTTCTAGTTAAATCTTAGGTGCAATAGTTAAGCTTTAATAACAGAGAAATGAGTTCTGCTGCAAATCAATAATGTAACTTTCATCTCCTCTCCCAAAGCTGACAATTTTCAATGACAGTTCCTGCACATAAAGTTGCAAATGCTTCAGGTAGTGGTTGCTCTTGAAATACCACGGAGTGTTTAACTGGAAGGTTGGATGAGAATGCTTTTCAGAATTTTGTTCTCCTTTTTTCTTTTATTCCTCCTCTTGTTACTAAATTCATTGCTCTTTTTTTGTTGTCATATCTGCAGATGACTTGTTAGTTCCACCTCATGATACCAACACAGATCTAACAGATGTCATGGAGCAAATCAACAACACATTTCCAGCTTGTTGCTGTAAGTGTAACAAAATACGTCTCTGGGTTTTGAGTTTGAGGCAGTCTTTTGAAGAAAAAAATAATTCTTGTGGTTTTGACTAGGAATAAAGTCTCTCTGATGAGATTTCTTGTAAGGATAGGCAAGCTACATAGTTCTATTCTTCAAAGTTCCTCAATGGAGACACTATTTGTAAGGGTAAATGAACAAATATTCTCATGTTTTAAGTGGAAGTGATTCACTATAAGAAAAGTCTATCTCCATTTGGGATTTTCAGCCGTGCCCACATCTAGAATCTTATTAGCTGCTAATCTAGACCTCACATAGAACTTAAGTGAGTTCAGAAATTCTGAATGCTGTTTTTCTGTTAAAACTTGAAAAAAAAAAGGCTTTAGGCAACAGGAGGGACCATAGCCCAATCCTGACTGCCTGAACCAATTATTGAACAAATTATTAAACTAATTGACCAGAGGAAATAGCTGTTAACACAGCACACAACACCTTTCCCTGCTTAAATGCCTTGAAAGTTGATATTTTATTAAGTGTGTATTAAAGAGACATCAAAAGGAAAACCAATTAGTTTCCTATGCATGGCTTCTATCAGCTGACACACATTCCCACTGATCCTGTTCCTTCCAGAGTGTCACAACACACACAAGAGTGAGTAGCTTCCTCTCTGTTCACAGCAGTGTTTCATACAGATTGTTGGTTTTAGCAGAACGGATGAAGTGACAACTTTGTTATTCAGTGTATTTATTTTTTTTATATACATACACACATATCTACATCTTCAGCTCTTTTGCCTTAGAAAAACAGTAGTGAAAACTTTTTATATATTCTTAAACTTTCAACAGTTCTTTCAAATGATAGGTAATAATGATGGTCAGTTTTAAAAGGTACAAGTGAGAGGGGAGGTGTTTATGCTCAGTTCTTGCAGAAACATTGAGACTGAACTCTATTCTGTTTCATAAACTCAGTGAACCCTGTTAAAATACCCTTTTTATCTCTTGCATGTATATTGCTTGGCTGTGAAAAATGCATCACAGAGAATGCACTTTGCACATTTTGAGAAAACAAATTAGGATCTAGCAAAAAAAAAGGTCTTGTTTCAGCTGTCCCTCAGGATTTTCAGTGAGGTAATCTTTTGAAGATTAAAAGAAGTCACAGCTCCAAATTTCATGTGATTTTTCCCTTTGTCATTGACATGCTGCTGCAGTAATGAAAACAAACCAGCTTGCCCACATTACTAGATCCAGCTTAAGTTTGCTTTTCTTCAGTCATTCTGTAACATCTTGTATTTGGGACATTTACCAGGACTATATATTTTTTAAGCATGTAAGATTCATATACAGTTTTAGAAGCCTGAAATGAGAATTATTAGTCAGGCCTTCCCAACAGAGTGCATTAAACTCTGAGAGTTTTGTTAGGCAAGACCATGACAAACCAAGGCCATTATCTTTTCCTGGGGCTGTTTGAGATGGATCTGTCTTTCCATATAACAACTGCCTAACCTGTTCTGTAAAAATTCCAGTGACACAAACTCCATGGACTCCCTAAGCAGTCTGTTTGAAGATCAGCACTGTATTCCTAACCTTCAAAAGTAATATCCTTACCCTTTTTTAATTGTACCCAAACTGAATTTTATTAGAGCAGCCTTCATGTTCCACATATCATGTCCATTTATTAACCAAAAAAAAAAAAAGTAAAAGCTATTTTTTCACAGCTTCATCACTACTAGCTTCTCACACCTCAGCCACAGCTTTCTTTAAGGAGTTATTAGCATCTGAGCCTTACATAGATTATTTTTATCCCATCTTGACTGTACAATAGAGCCAGTCCTCTGATTTGCTGTATTGGGTTTTATGGGTTTTGGGTTATAATTCGTCTTGAAATCAGTATTTCTACTTACTCCAAATACCTCATATGAAGCAATTATTCATATAGTAAGGAACTGCTCTTAATGGTGGGAAGTTTGTTTTGGTTTGTTTTGGTTTTTTTTGTTTTGGTGGTTTTTTCCTCCCCGGATCCTTTGGTTATGGATATAATGCCTCTTTTCCTTCCTTATTTATGAGGTTGGTCCTCAGAAATAGGCAAGTGAGTTCCAGAACAGAACATTTTGAACAGATGTTGTTATAATGCACCACTCATAGGTTTACCTGGTCACAAGTAATGAAAAAGGAACAATTTATATAATATATATATTCATGATGCTGTAATTTTGTTCAAAGAGAAGTAAATTTGTGAAGACATTTATTTATAGACCTTTATGACACTCTTCTAGTCAAATGTTTTTGGTTTTTTTTTTTAAGATCTTTTTATTCTTCTATCGTATGCATTTTCCTGATACGGCTTTATTTTAAACTGGCAAGATGCAGAATCATGTACATGTCTAAATTTCTTTTTTTTCTATTTGCAGCAAGTTTCACCGGCAGACCACAGGTATGAGACATGTTTAGAAACTTGCATAGTTATTTGAAGCAAAGTAAAGCAAGTGGAAAAGATCCATTAAGGCAGAGTGGTCAGGTTTTCTTCTCTATTTTTCCCTAGAGGTGTATTCGGAAGCTAGACTGATGTAACCAGAAGGCTAGATTCTGGAATATCCCAGTTAATAGGAAACTCTTGCTGGTTCAGGCATTACCAGAGGTACAATGGTGTGCAGTTCTGGGATGCTAACCATATGGAATCAGCTTGAATCTGTCAGGGAAAATTAGTTTCAAGCCAGCATCAGCTTGCAAGATCAGAGCTGGTTCTTGCAAAGACATCCCTATGTCCTTGTGCCCTAGTGTCCATAGCTCCAGTTCCAGGAGCTATGGACACCAGGGTACAAGGTCAAGAGCCACACAGCATCTTAGGCATTAGATTGAGCTGCCTTCTCCCTGTAGGCAACCACTTAACAAACACAAAGCAGAAATTTGGCTACTTTTAGAGTTCACAAAAATGTGGAAAACAATCCAGTATTTAGATACTTCTTCTTGAAAATCAAACTACTATTATTAGTTTAATTTATGTTATAAGTAGCAGAAACAGGGAAAAAACTTACTATATGTTTAGTTTGATAGTGGAGCCCACATATTGACAAATAAGGAATGACATCATCTTATGTCATTGCAGAGTTCTTTGGAAGTTTCATTGTTAAATAATTTTTTAAGACTACCACAAATTTCTGTGAGACTTCAGAATAATTAAGTGCTAGTGGAAAGAGTCTGTTTAGTTCCCTAAGTTGATTCACCTTGTCCACTAATCCACAGTTTGCAAGGTCACACCTCTCCAAAATGAGTACCTGAAAATTCAGAATATTGCTGTGCAAACACTTTCTTGGATTGCAATATCTGGGGTAGGAGGATTGTCCTCCCAAACAGGAATATCTAAAGAGAACGGGATGAATCCTGCTGTGCGCTCAGTTAACTCGGACTTTGTGTTTTGGTCTTGATAAGTTAAATTAGGGAATTAAACGAATATTTTTCGGAAATGCTTCCTCTAAGCAGGAACAGAGAGGGCTTTCAGTGTTATCAGTGAATGATACTAATCTTCCTGAAAAAGCATCTGATTTTTTTAAAATACAAGATGATTCCCAAATGGTTTCACTGCAAATCTACCCTTCCAGAACTGTTCAAGAAGGCACATTTGTCTGTTCCTGACAGAATCCTGAAACAGATGCCTGGAAATAAGCTTCACATTTGAAGGGGCCAAGTCCAAATCCAGGCTCTGTATACTCTCCAGTTTCACCACTTGGGCTTTAGATAGGACAGTAGCTTACCTAAGCTTTATTTTTCTGAGTTCTATGGGGAGTCATATTTACTGCTCTGTAGACTAAATTTCTGGGCCTTACTCAACAAGAATTTTGAACACTGTGATAGAGTAAAATTAGGTTTCTCTTCACTACATGCCTCAGTGATTTGCTGAGTCTCCAGCCAATACATCTAAATTTTTAAAATACAGGGGTTTTGTAAAATTACATCAGAGTCCTTAACTGAACTGAGCCCAGAGTAGTTAGAGCTTTCTGTGTGTGTTAGCATGGTACTGACACGAATTTTTCTCATCATGACAGGCAATGTGAAGTGTTAATTTGGACATTGAGGAGTGCTTCCTGACGTGCAGCACAGCCCTTTTCTACAAACCATCAACTGCGAGTTCCACTTCATCAGAAGGCTGCATGGGACCCTGGAACATGCTGTTCACTCTGGCTGCGTGTTCTACTTGAAATAGTAAAACACTGAATACCCAAAGACGAGGATGTTGTCTTTATAATATCTTTTTTTTTCTTCTTCTTCTTCCCTTTCTATGCAACTGTAAATTAATGAGCAGTGGAGTATTTGTCACTGATTTGTATAAATATACAGCCGCGGGAAAAGGGGCAGGGGCTTTATATACGTTCCTTTTGATAATCCTAAAGAGAACTGCATAAGGAGTTTGGAGCAAAATGTTACATTTATACATTCCTTTCAGCTCTTTGCTTTTACATTGTAAAATACCCTTAGTTATATTCTCACACATTTAGTATTCTGTACTGATTATTTATATGCTAAACATCGGACCACCGAGATTTCAGAATACCCTTGAATTGTCTTCAGGATTGGCATTTGAAGTTCCCATAATCTGCATTATTGTTACTGGTTAATAGAAATTGCCGTTGGGTGCAAACTACAGTACTTTAATTCCATTAAACAAAGCAAAATATCATTTAAAGTCATAATCATCATCATCCTCCTGCACCAAAATGGTATTTTCAACTTTCTTTTACTCATTTCCAGACAACACACTCCATTTGGAGGATTATTTTTTTTAAGCCTTACTTTACTTTGAATCAGGAGATAGCTAAAAAGAGGACTTAGATGATAGCTTAAGTTGTTTTTAGCACGGTCTAAGTTAGTGTAATCTTTTCCAACTTTGTTCGGAGACAAAGCTTTGCTGTTCCCTGCTGTGCCAAACTTGCTTCAAGTTTTGGAATTTACAGTCTGTGAAGTAAAGCTCATTTTTGTGAGATCCCCTTCTTTTGTCCGCCTCTTGGAAATGAAGAGACAATTAGAAAGCCCTTTCCAATACTGTTAACAATGGAATGTTTTCCTCAAATCTGCAATGCACTTAGATGTTACCATTTGGCATCGTAATCCTGCAACTCATCTTTATCTTTGAAATCATTTATTTATGTATCTTAACTATGGCTAATTACGGGAAAATTATGTCACTGATCAGTTGATCTCTAGTTTTTAAATTATCATAAGAGATTTTAATGCCTTCACGGAGTTTACAATGCTGCATGAACACTTACTTTAATTTCAGCACATACTTTTAATTGGTAAAACTGCATGCAATGTATTTCATGTGTAGTGGAGAGAAACTAAACTGTGTTGCTCTTAATTATTACTGAAGACAAAAAAAATCTCAAAGTATTGGAAGAGTTGTGAATTCTCTATTACTACCAAAAAATACTAGAGGACGTTAAGTCAGCAGGTCAGGAATATCTAGTGTTTTTGTGAAGTGTTGCCAACTAGACTGTCCTGCACCCACAGTATTCACTCCTGGACTGCTGTTGCTCAAGGAGAAATGTGGGCACAGCGTTGACCATGTTCTAGGGTTGGCTCTGGTGCCAGTTCTTTCTGAACCCTTTGGCAAATTATTTAACCACTCTGCCTCTGTTTTCCCATCTGTAAAATGGGGATGATAGTACTTACCTCCCAAAGGTCTTGTAGGACTTGCTTAGTGTCTGAAAAGCTCTATATAAATGCTAAGTATTACTCCTGAGTGAGTGGAACAAAATTGTGAAGGTGGGAAGAGAAGATGCTGGCTCCTATAAATGCTTCATCTATTAAAAAAAAAAAAAAAGTAGTGTAGTTATTTTGAGAATAAAAAACTCCACATTTTACAGAAGAGGAAAGCCATGACCACCTTTCTACCTCAGACCTATCTTCATGAGTAGTATTGGAAATAGCTTTATATTCTGTTCTCTGCAAACTACTGTGCTTTTATCAAGCTACATCTTTCTCTAGACAAAAAGATCCATAAAAAATATCCCCTCTACATAAGTAAAAAAAAAAGGTCTCAATAGTGAATTTGGTGGCTTTTATTTTTGTTCTGAATATGAGGTTATGTATAAAGTTGTTTTTCCGCCTGTGTTTGTATGCATCCTTTGTCCTCTGCTGCCAAGTAAATGCTGCTTCAAACACTACGTTGTAACATTCTTTCTCTGAGACAATAATGAATAAAAGGAATATATTGCAGTAACACAAGAAAAAGTATGGAGTTCTTTCAAGTTTTGTGGTTTTCAAGGATGACACTTCTCATTGCTAAATGCTGAAGATTTCATTCTGGAGATTAATTTTAGCACAGGGGTGCTGTGGTAGTCCATTTCTATGTGCTAGCGTTTTTGGAGTGTGGTTTGCATTTATATAAATGAGATTAAGCAGTGTTTTCTCCCCATAAATCTGTGCTTATTTTCTCCAGTTTTCCATCTTTAGTGATTTAGTCTGGAATCCTTCTCAGTTTCATGACAGATATTAAATTTGATCACCGAGCAGCGGACTGCTTTTATTTAAAAACTGTTATATATACATATTACAAAACAGCAATAATTCATGAAGCCCTGTTCAATATTAGAACTGTATATTAATCTTCAAGTTTTGGTGGCCTTCAGCTGAAGCACAGCATTAGGTACTCAGTCAGGACAGAGGTACTTTCTAGCCCTATTCTCTGCTGATTTTAGTTATTTGCATTAAACTAATGCAAATTGTGCTAATGACTGTGTTAGAACTACTGTATTTAAGGAGAAAAAGAGTCGTCCACAACCCTAACAATTCTGCTTCCTTGTAGTGGGCACTGTTTTCATGTTTAGTATTTATTAAAATATTGGGGTTTTAAAACTCTAACAAATGTAAAATATGTCAAAGTAATAAAATTTTCCTTCAGTTTGTGAAGGGAAGCTTAACAAATAAGTTATAGGAATCAGTTTTTTCACATGGCATTTAAGTGACTTAGTAGTTAACAAGGAATTTAATTATGGAAATAGCAATATGAGTCAAATTAAGTTATGCATTTAGAACAATAAATGTGTCAAAGAGGAGGAGGCTGATGGATTAAAGAATCTATTAAACCCCAACATCTGTCTGTTAAAAGAAGTAAACATTTTAATTACACGTTTGTAGAGTTGAAGGCAGCAGAAGAGGGGTATGGACCCGAACCAGAGCCTGACTTTGAGAACCATTTCTTCTCAAAGTGCTCAATCCTGCAATTTACACACTCTGTACTCTGGCCACTAAGGCAGCAAGTAACACTGGACCAGAGCTCTGTAGCACTGTCGCCTGCGAGGAGGGTGCTCTCAGCTGACAGTCGTGCTTCAGTGCCTTGCCATGAAGGTCCTGACTCTTCTCAGGGGGAACCCCTGGTCCTCAGTGAACAATGCAGTAGTGAGCACTCCCTCGGTTCTCTGCACAACCGTTTGCTTTGAGGACTATCCAGCCTTTTATGCTCTTATTTTGTCAGGCAGAATAAAGCAAATGTGATACTTCTCTGGAGAAGAATTACCTTCCTGGACCGAAGAGCTCTCAGTCCAAAATACATGCCTATCTCCCTAATTGAGAGGGACACCCTCCTGCACAGCCCAGAATGGATGGGGTAGTTGATATAGCTTATTTGTTTACATTTTTATTACAAAACACCCTTGAGCTGAAACATTACTATCAAATCAGTTCTTTTTTTTTTTTTTTTTTTTAGAAGATGCAAGATTGATGCATAATTAAAATCAGAGTGCAGGAAGTTCCTCTACTACTGAGGCTTCATCTTCAAGGGAATTTCCACAATGAAACAACTCTTCTTGGGTGGTAGTGGTATTATTTCTCTCTTTGGATGAAGACAAGGCTCTTCAGGTGTTCAGATCTCAATAACTGAGATAGTGAGGCTAGTGTCTCATAATTTAACTATGTCAGAGATACTGAACCCAGACACAAAATGTCAGTATACACATGACAATTCCTGTGCCCTAGGTCAGATGTTATGTCTTCTCTTATTTCTACAGTTGAAAAGTAACAAGAAATTAAAGCTGAATTCATCCAAATTATAAATGTATTGCTGTAGTGGACAAGCTTTGGATTTATGCAAAATACCAAAATATTGTTTTAAACATTTACATTACAAATTGCCCTTTGAAGAGCACTTGCTTATTACGTGTATATTTTGCTCTCTCCTTTAGTACAGAGTTGCCCTGAGAAAAACCTTCCTGAAGGTAAACATTCACACCACTGCAAGACTGAGTAATGGATTCTGTCTACTGTCATGCAGAAATGAAGTTGTCGTGCCATATGGCTGAGAAAATTCTGTTCCCACAACAGCAGCAACAAAATCAGTCTTACAAAGCCAGCCAAGGTGTAAATTAATAACAGTGGGGTATGAAAACAGACAAACCCAAAACAAACAACCAAGCTTTTAGTGTGGTGAGGAAAAAAAAAGGCAGGAAGAGATCTCTTCTGTTTTACAAGCAATAAAAGCTCTCAGTAATCATCAGCTATACATTATGTTCCTCAAAATACATTTAGCAAAGGTGAACTCTTCCTGGGCTAACATGTTTTTCGGAGCCTATCTTCTGTCTTTAGTGTCACTTAAATTTCCATGATGTGCCAGCAAAATTATACTCTTGGCAGCTCACATTTAGGCATTGGAAAGAGCAGCTGCATGCAAGTGCAGCAGCTGCCTGTGGAAGAGGAAGGGAGTGTTTTCATCCACTGCTTTTGTAAGCACCTCTGCCTGAGACACCAACACAGAAGCTGCCAGGAGTGGGCCCATTCAGCTCATTTCCCCAGGCATCCCAGCCCTGCAGCCAACACAAAGGGATCTTTTAAATTGAAAACTGCTCTGTGTTACTATGCCTATTAAAAGTGATACACCAGGAGAGCTGAACAGAATTCCTGAGTGCAAATCTTAAAGATAAGTAGATACACAGGAAAAACAAAAATGAAGCAAAACCAGAACAGCAGCACAACTAAACATAGGTGCTATCCCTCCAATCTCATTGTCATCTCTGAAACATAGTACTTACAAGTGAACTATTCATGCTGTTGTTAGTCACTCTCTTTATACATTCAGATAAGCACTTTGAAAAAGTCTAATTTTCCACCCTCTAATAACTAATATTTACCTTGGAAAAGCTATAATTCAGAAATACTTATTTCCTGTCTATGGAAGGAAAGCCTAGGGTAACAAATTCAAATAAACACATCTGCACCTTACAAATCTAATTTCTAGGGAGAGGTGCCATCTGGGTACTAAACAAACCACAGGAGAATAAAACAATGGTTATGGATTGGTATCAGCTATAAAAAAACAGGTCAGCTATGACCTGCTTAATAAAAAAAAAATTAAAAAAAAAAAAAGTCAGCCACATAACAACATTGTAGCAATACTTCATCTGCACATGATGGAATTCCTTTTGCCCCTGCCAGTAGCTGATACTTCTTAGACTATGATTTAAGTTCTTTGGAAAACAAGCAGAAGTTAGAGGAAGGGACAGCATCCCTAACCAACAGTTTGTGCATCTCATAAGCTAGATTTAATGGAGTTTGGAAAAAAGCCACATAAATACA